AACTTACCGCCGGACACCGGAGCACAATAAGACGACAGTGACGTAATATTTAATCACACCTTTCTAGATCCGCATGATTTTCAAGTACCATATACGAAAATTAATTTCTCTATTTTTCATCAATATTTCTAACATTCTGACAATTCCACACTCTCTGCATGAATTCCAAAAACATAAAATTTCAGTTTTAAAACCACAAAATTTAACTTTTCTTTGAATCTTCGTTAATTATTCACACGAAATCTTGTTCCAACCGGTTATTAAAATATTCCTTCGCCGCCACCACTTCCGACACTTCATCCAATAAAATTAACAACAATATCAACAAAGGGGAATGACTCCTGCCTTTCCTTGCACAAATTTTAAATAAATAAGCAAATGACGTCATGGGTAGTAATATAAGAATTAGCCAATAAAGTGTATACTCAGTCAAAGTATGTGCTTTTTTTTACTGCTACCATGTGTACTATTTTGTTCAGTATTGTACTATTCTGAATGAAATAGTCCCCATCATCACTTATATCATATCAGTCCTTAGCTACTGGTATTGTTCCATCATCTTTTAAAGAGGCGATCGTCACTCCACTATTAAAGAAATCAAATCTTGACCCAAATGTGATGGAAAATTATCGCCCCATCTCAAATCTACCATTTATTTCTAAAATCTTAGAAAAAGTCTTTCTCCGCCAACTCCTGGATCACCTCACTCTGTTTGACTTGTTTGAACCATTCCAGTCAGCATACAGGGCGCATCACTCTACTTAGACAGCCCTGTTGCGCGTCGTAAACGACCTTCTGTCGTCTTGTGATGAGGGCCAGGTATCAATTTTGTCTTTACTCGATTTATCGGCAGCTTTCGATATGCTCGACCACGGCATACTGCTCCAGCGTCTGCAACAAACATTCGGTCTCACTGATACCGTCCTGTCTCACTGATACCGTCCTGTGTTGGTTCCGATCGTATCTGACTAATCGGGTCCAATCAGTTATTTCAAACGGCTTGACCTCGAAGAATCTAATATCGAATTCGGAGTACCCCAGGGCTCTGTCCAAGGCCCGGTGCTTTTCACGATGTACATTCAGCCCCTGGGTGCAGAGATCAGGCAGTTTGACATGTTGTATCACATGTTCGCGGACGATACACAACTTCATCAATCCATGATCCCTTCTCAGTTCCCTCAGCTGCTCAGTATGACACAGAAGACAATGGAGTCGGTTAAGCACTGGATGACCATAAACAAGCTCAAATTAAATGATGATAAGACTGAGCTGCTCATCATCGCGACCGCTCAAAAGCAAAAATCTGCAAATAACACGACATCCATTACTCTCTCAGGTGTGCATATTGAGTTAGCTCAAACAATGCGGTACCTGGGTGTCTACCTAGATAGAAGACTAACTTTTGAAAGTCATATTAACATGCTATGCAAGGCGATTTTTCTGGAGCTGCGCAGGATTAGTCACATCAGGCCCTTCCTAAAAATTGATGCAACAAAGAGGCTGATGTCTGCATTTGTGCTATCACGCATGGACTATTGCAATGCTCTCATGGTGGGTCTTCCAGCTACGCTCCTGGATAAAATTCAAATAGCACAGAATAATGCGGCTCGCATAGTTCTCCGCAAACGCAAATTCGACCATGCAAAAACACTTCTGAGAGAGTTGCATTGGCTGCCGGTGCGTGCTCGCATAGAGTACAAAATCGCAACTTTGTGCTACCGCTGCTTACATGACCTGGCGCCGTCCTATCTGAAAGAGCTGCTGACGCCTTATGTACCCACTAGAGAGCTCCGCTCATCCGATAGTGGCAAACTCTCGACACCACGTGTTTGCCTTGAGACTTATGGAAAGCGCATTTTCGCATTTGCTGGTCCAACAATTTGGAACGCCCTTCCAGTCAATCTCAGAAACAACCAGACACTGGAGTCCTTTAAAAACCGATTTAAAGACACATCTATTTCGCAAACACCTTCTGAGATGATTGTCTACCTTATTTTCCAGTTAATGCATAATGGCTATGTTGCTTAGGGTTGAAATGGCTAGAAAGACTTTAACATTGTATGCTTGTAATTAGTTTTTGTAGTGTTGCGTTTGTTTTAAATGTGGTAAACTATAGATTTATTTTTTGTTGACTTTGTACCGCGCTTCGAGCCTTTGGGGATGAAGCGTGTTTTTGAAATGAACTTTATTATTATTATTATTTTAAGATGGTATTGTACTATTTTGAGATGGAATTGTACTATTTTTGGAGTTGCTGGGTAAACAGGTCTACCTTAACAGTTTTGTTGAATTTTTTTAATACATGTGTATTATGCTTTGTGTCAGGATATACTATCATTAAGTACACCCTTAAATGAAGAGTGAACCAATGGATTACTTACTTTTACAACTGCAAAAAGAAAATGGGAGAGCTGGACAAAATACACATTTTTCATATTTTTATTTTGAATATCTATTTAAATTGTTATCAATATCATAAACAAGTTAATCTTATAATTTTTTTTTATAGGAAACGCCTAAGGGATGTGATAATTAAAAAGATTCCCCCTCAGTTTGAGCTCAAGATATCCAAGTCATTGATTCTTAAAAGTATGTGTGAAAATTTTTATGTAACATTTTATAGTAAAGACGGCTTGAACATTTTATAGTAAAGACGGCTTGGTTTTGATGAAGGGTGTATAATTATTTTATTATTTTTAGTCAAAACATTTAGCAAATGTATTTTTTGTTGAATAACATCTAATTTATTCAAATTTCTATACAATTTTTTTAGTTAAGATAAGACAAATAAGATTATACTATCAATCCAAATAGATGGATTTTTTTTATTGCATCGTACATATTCATTTTCAACACATAAATAAATACATATTTTAACAAAGACAACATTTTACAATTATAACAATTTAACACAAGACATTTAAAGTATTTCTCTGGCGTAGAAAGCAGCCATCAATAAACCCCTTTAGTGACAATGACTTAATTAGTGATCATTTATATTTGGTAACCCTGAGGGAGCATGCTGGTAAACTCGTACAGACTGGGGAACAAAAAGAATTTTTTATATCTTTTGGTCCTAAATTTAAGAGAAAGAATTCGCCCTGATCGAGCTGATCTTAGGTATCTGTGATGATGAGGGTGGAGTCATCCAAAAATTTTCTTGAAATAGTTCATCAAGTGAAGAATGATTAGTATATGTGATATTACTAGCTTTCTTGATTAGTCTATTTTCTATTTAATCTGTACTTGAGGTTTAATGTTGGTTATGTTTAAATTTCAGTGAAACCCGTTTTCAAACCTTTAAATAAACCCCAGAAGTTGGCCATTTTGAAGGTGTTGATGGCAAAGGATTATGTTTTAATAAGAGGTTTTCCTGGAACAGGTAAAAAGCATTAAATTTTTAAAAACTTTTTGGTGAAAAAATGTTGCAGAAATATTCTTATATTTCTAGCTCAAAAAGTCATAGGTTTATTGACTCCTTTAAAATGTAGTTAATCCATACATGGCAATCTCCCTTCTGAATTAATTTTCTGTACTTAGGCTTCTAAAAATAGGTACAAAAAAATTAAAAGAAATAATAAATGTAATCTATTTTAATTAGTATTTTATATCGGTTACTTGTTTGCATGCCCTTTTTATGAGTTTTTTAAAATTAGGTTTATGTTAAATTCATCCTGAAAAATAATTGTGATTGTCTGTTTCCGCTATCAGTCTGTATTTTTATGGCATCCAGAATGATCTTTCATAGTTTGAAATGCTGTGAGGCAAGGTCGGCCAGTTTTACAGTAAAGAGATGTAAAATATAATTTCAGATAATAAAGCTTTTAAATTTCTTTATCGCCAACCATGTAAAATGCAGTCATTTGTGTGTAATGTTCCAAATCTTGATGCCTTTAGGAAATTAAATGGATTAATTGGCTTTAAGCTCCATTTTGATCACTGTAGAACTGCTTGTAAGATATAAAAAAAAGTTCCCCTCAACTATACCCCTTTGAACAAATGTGCAAATAAAATATTATATTTTTGGAACAACCAGGGAAAACAATGTACAACATGTTGACAGTTAGGTACTTATTAAAAAATACCCAAAAATAGGTACACAAATTGAGGGAAAAGGTACCACTTGACATGTAAGAGTTCTTGCCTCTATTTTTTATAATATTTTGAAGCTCATTTACTTGAATTCAGGAAAAACTTCAACAATTGTAGCATTAGTTCAAATCTTGCTACTCACTGGACAATCTGTGCTCCTAACTAGTTACACCCATTCTGCTGTTGATACCATACTGCTCAAGTTAAAAGAGGTGAGGAGAAACTTAAATCTCAGATGCTTGACTCAACTGTAGGTTATGTTATAGTTTACTTAAATCAATATTCAATAAATAATTGAAAAATAATACTGAAAAAACATATGTAATTTTAAAACATACACTGTCTGATCCATCTTCTGTTGTAGGCCGGTGTACGTTTCCTGAGACTGGGTCGTAGAGGTCGTATTCACCCATCCATTCTTCCATATTCATCTGAGATCCTAACAAGTTTTCCCGACATAAATTCTGTCCAGAAGCTGAAGCAGTTTTACGACTCTTATGTGAGTTTTCTTTTAGTGTGCAAACTATTGAAATTGTGCAAAAAGCATATCCCATTTTTCTCTGCTGAATTTTTGGTTATGAATGTACCTTTTCATCTGATTTTATTAATACTTTGTATATATATTTATAGATGATGAAATGCTAAATCTTTACGTTCTTGAAATCTTAGTTTTTTATTAATTTTTTAATTTTTTTTTCTTTTTTGCTTTAGGATGTTATAGCCACAAGTTGTTTAGGCATGAACAACCCGCTATTCAACATGAGGAAATTTGATGTGTGCATCGTAGATGAAGCATCTCAGGTCCTCCAGCCTGCTTGTTTGGGCCCTTTGTTTAACTGCAGTAAATTTGTACTTGTTGGAGATCCAAAGCAGCTGCCACCAATAGTGAAGAGCAAAGAAGCCAGGTAATGAACACACTGTTACGGTACTATTCTGTTTTAAAATAAGTAATATAACTTTATTGCTGCTTTAGCTGTGATAATGAAATGCTGAGTGTTTTCAAATATACAAACATACTTAACAAATAATGCCTGCCATACAAAAAAAATAAGCCTGTCAAACGTTTGGCCATGACAATCTTAAAAATTAGTAACAGTATTAGTATTTTTAAGCTATGAAATGCTTACTGGCATGAGTAGACTTGTGTAAATAAATATGCCCTTGTTCCAATAGAAATCTAGGTATGGATGAGAGCCTCTTTGCAAGACTAGAAGGCTGTGGTGCCACCTATGATCTCAATTTACAGTATCGCATGAACAGGTTAGTAATTGCTTTTCTTTACTATTAAACTAAAATCTTTGATCAAATGTGATCATAAAGTTTTTCTATTTTGTTTTTTAATTTGTATTTTGATATCCTTTCAATTAATTTATGAATTCAAAATCTAGAACATTAAACATAAATTAAAAATGAATGATAATGTTTAACTTTGTTTCCAACAGAGTCATCATGGAATTGAGTAACCAACTTGTCTATCAAGGGAAGCTAGAGTGTGGTAGTGCAGCAGTGGCAGAGCAGTGTTTAGAACTAGATATGGAAAGTTTACAGGTAATTTTTCGTTTAAACTAAGTTATTCATACACACTTTTGGTTTTAGAAAGCAGCAAGTAAACCAAAAAAGTAAATTTGGAGTTCTTTCCTTTAGTATTCAACAGTAAACTTAACAGTAACTTGTAATTATTTGACGAATAAACTTGTTGTAGAAGGTTGGACACCTGTGTGCTGTGACTTTCTTTAATTGCAATACTTTAATTTTGTATAATTTATGATCACACCACAAGAATTTGCATGTACGCTAAACAGTTAATCTAATAGAATCCAGGTTCCCAACCTACAAGTTGCTACACCAAAATGGGGTCTCGAATGGTTTTTCTATGGTATCACCAGAGCTGAATCAATAAATTTAGAAAAAAGGATGTTTAATCAATGTTCATTTTGATTGATGACTACATAATATCATTTGCTTCTACATATTTCTGTGGGAGTGGATTTTCAATGCCTCTATATTTGAAAATAAGACACAGAGTAAATTTATAGAATAGCAAAACTCAACTGCAAATTTCAAAGCTTTTTTAATGAGTTACATTTTCGTCATTGCATTAAATATTTCAGGTAAGTTAACATTATAATGAATATTATTTAAATTGAGAATTTTTTTTTTTTAAATACGTTTTTCGTACACCCTGTAAAAGTACCTTTTGACACGTATCTATTCTATTCTAGGGTCGGATCTTATTAAATGGGTTGGTGAATTCATTACATTATTGGTTGGCTATTCTAATTGTAAACCTTAGATTTCACTTAGGGCTCCTTTGATTACTGTAAATGAGTAATACACCAGATAGGATTTATATAGGAAATAAATTAATAAGATTTGGTATGTTACTCCATATGGTATAAACCAAATCCACAATTTTTTGTAGCTGCCATGTCTTTTTCCTGTTAAGTTTTTAAATTTTACTTTCCCTCACTTCCTTTCCGTTCTTCTTAACCCACAAACTGTGCTTGCAACTATTCTGTACTGTGCAGGCAATTTAATAGCTTTTTGGGTGCCTTTGAAAAGGGGGATTTTTCACCATAGCTAGACCCCATAAAGTATTTATTTATTGAAATTAGGCTGAGTGGGGAATCATATTGTCTATTTTGTTAAAGCTATTTTATACTCTGAGACTGTGACCTTGACCATGCAATGACCAAAACTAAAGAAGATGAAAATTTTTCTTTTCAAGTACCTCAAACTACAATTTTTTAAAGGTATATTATTATAATGTTTATATAATATGATAGCATTTTTATTTATCTTTCAGAAAATGTATTATTTGGTATATGTTTTAGTTATTAATAGATTTTTAAAAAAAATTCTTCGGATACCTATAATTACGTTCAAGTAACAAAGCATGACATAAACAATATAAACGTTACTAAATAGCAAGAAACAGATAAAATCTTAAAAGCAGCTATATAAATATTTAATCCATAAAATGAAATATAAGGCAACATATAGAGAACAACATCCAATTATTTTTTGTTGGTACACAATCATCTGCAACATAGTTTTCAACAAGTCCTGTTTTTTAAGCAACGCCTACTCGTTATAGGCCTAGGTCTAAATTGTCAGAGTACGAACTTTCGCTTTCTGACATACAAGAAAAATAATCGGTTCGTGTGTGATCGGAAAATCATCTTCCGAATCACCAGTCATTAACTAAAAAGTTATCAAAAAGATTTTTAACTGATTTATTTTGTAAGTCAGATGGTCCAGCTATGGCCTCATCCATTTCGTGAAAATCCACTTACACAAATTTTCTTGATAAAGATCGTTGTAAAATAACTCCAAAGTTTACAAAAAGGACACAGAAGAGCGAAAAACGGAAGTTTATTTATTAATTAAAAGGAAATAGTTTTATTTAGTGTAAAATATTGGACTGAAAGTTGTTCTTTCAACACAATTTTTATTGGCCGATACAGTATAGAAAGAGAAAATCTACCCATTTAATCGGCCGACCACAGTTTGGGGGTTAACTTTGTTTTTTTCTGGGTTTGCGCCCACTCTTATTCTTTTCTATTTTTTAGGTAGGATACATCTAAATATATATTATGTAAATTTAATTTATACTTATTTAATTGTTTTGCTTTTTGGACTGATGAAGGCATTTTCCGAAAAGTTAAAATTTGTATTTTGTAAAATCATCATTAAAGCTGAACATATATTGTTTTATTTACACAAATTATTTGTGTCTAATTAATCCAGTTTTATAAAAGTATGTTTGTTAAATTGTACCTCTACATACAGGCATGTCCAGCATGGATGAAAGAAGTTCTTAGTCCTGTACTGCAAAATTCAGTGGTATTTCTGGATACTGGAATGGTAAGTTCAAATTTTAGAATACTAAATGTATGAAGGCTATATTTTTTAGTTCAGGCAGTGTTAATGCTATATCATCAGAATATTTATTTATTTATTTATGTAGGCATTTTTATATAGCGCTTATCATAAAGCTCTAAGCGCTTTACAATTATTAAAACATGTAAACTAAGTAAATACAAATGAGACACTAGGATAGTAACTACTATTCTATAGAAACAATGAAAATGGCTATAAAACGAGGACACTTTGACACTTCAGGATCAACCCGAAACAGAAAATGAGGTAGGGCAAGGAGGGTGCATCACAGGTCATAGGCGGACCTAAACAGATGAGTTTTAAGGGACTTTTTGAAAATGGACGAGGTTTCACTATGACGTATATGGAAGGGGAGCTGGTTCCAGAACGTGGGCCCATGGAAGCAGAAGGAGCGTTCACCGATGGTCTTAGTTTTAGTTCTTGGGATTGAGAGGGTTCTACTGTCAATGGAAGAACGTAGTAATATCAAAAATATTATTTATCAATGCAGAGTGTAAATCTGTTTTAAACATTATATTAAGAGTGCTTTATTGTTTGAAATTCTTTAAATTACATTGAGCAAAATAATAACTGTAGGCTTTAAAAAAAATTTGATTGTTTATTCCAATTAGACAAATACAAAAGAGTCTAAAGATGGAAAAGGTTTTTTCAATAATTTTGAAGCAGAACTGGTTGTGTCCATTTTACAGACTCTAGTGAAGGTGCGTAAACTGTTACAAAATTTCTCAGAGATTAGTAACCAGGGTTCTAGGGCAGTGCTCCTAGAGGCACATTTCCTTGTTTGGTCAAGTAATCTCCCCACCCCTGTGTGCTGCTACCCATGATCCAATGGGGGCAAGTCTTTAGTAAGTCCTTTCCAATCCTTGAGATGGCACCCCAGGAAACCTGTTCTCCGTTAAATATGAGTGCTGGTGTATTGTGAGGGACTTTCCGGACATGCCTTGTCACTATCTGGCACCCCTTAAATAAAGCACACCAAGCTGGGGGTAATAAAGAATGTCACTTTTGTTTACACATGCATATCAAATTTTTGGTCTGCTTGAGGTCGGGTTTATTATATGTAATATGCACTGTTAATTTTGTTTATTATTTTTTATAATATTTATTAAATACATGTGTATGGTATCATAAGAATACAGATAGAAAGGTGCTATTTTTTATATTAATTTTGCTTGTTTTAAAACTTTTTATAGGCAAATTTAAAATCTGAATCTCTTGGAGTGATATCTCCCTACAATTCACAAATTAAGCTCATACAGCTGAAAGTTAAAGGCTGCCATGATGTGGATGACATAGAAGTGAATACAGTTGATCAATATCAAGGCAGAGACAAATGTGTCATCATTGTATCATTTGTGCGCACAGAAAAGGACCATGTAAGGATTTGCATCCACACATTATTTGCCTTGGAATCCATACGTTTATAGTAAATATTAAAGTTGAATTAGACTAAGAGAAATTCATATTCGTTTTTATTGGAAAGGAATGTTTCCTGTCGATTGGGGCGCTAATGATCAGATACTTCAACAAAAATATATTGAATGAGATTAAATGTACTTTTCCTTTAAATGGGGTTGCAGTTATATTTTTATATTGGTATTTAAAATTAAAATGCTAGTACTTTTAAATAATAGAATAAGCTGCTGGATGACTTTTTGTTTATAGATTGTCAAAATTTAAAGATTTTAGATTATTTATAAACAAAAATGTTAAAGATTTAACATTATTTAACTAGATATTATTAATGACATGACATTTTATATGATGGCTTGATAGTTTGATAATTTCACAATAAACGTTGGTGCTGATTTATACACTCCCACCCCACACAGGTGAACCTGTAGATCGCATAACTAAACTAATCTTATTCATGGCAACAGGCATATTCCCCAATGGGCTTAGTGATTAGTAGTTAATGAAAGTTATGTTCATCTTTCAATGTCCTTATATTTGAAAACTTGCTCTAGCGCTGGGCAAAATATTTTCTGTTTTTTTTGTGGGTTTTTTTTTACCATATTGAAACTTAAAATTTGACCTAAACAAGTTAAGGTCTTGTTGAAATGGTTTTATGACATATAAGCATAATCATATCATGTTTATCTTTTTTTCAGGTAGGTGAACTTTTAAAAGATCTGCGACGATTAAATGTTGCACTAACAAGAGCTAAGCATAAGCTGATTCTTATTGGCAATGCTGCAGCTTTAAAATCGTATGAACATGTAGCCAAACTGCTGATATGGTTGGAGGAAAACAATAATGTATCCTTAAATGTTTTTATGTGTACAAAAATCCTGGTGGTATTTCACATTTTTTAAGCTGAAAAGCCTAAATATTACTATACTGGTATTTGTGGTGATGACCTTTTAAAATGACCAAACATTTACGAAATGGTGAAATAAAATGCATATACCGTTATTTGTAGTACTGACCTTTTAAAATTACCAAACATTTTTTGAAATGGTGAAATAAAATGCACATGCTTAATAATACTTAAAGCTTTCTCTATTATAACAGAAGTATAATTTTTTAAATCTTCTACATCTATTAAAAAATTCCTCAGCTGACAATGATATAGCTAACCAAAATTAAATATACCTAATTCATTTTTATTTGTGTAAATAAATGAGATACAATTCAATGATTATTTATTTGATTATCCATTCTTTATCCTGCTGGTTTCCTTAACATGTCATCAGATAATTACAGTGCCTTTACAAGAATAAGTGAACATTGTGACTGACTGCTGTAACAAAGAATTCAAAACTTCCAAAGTAGGCCTACAACAAATGTGAAGACATGCAAATTGATGAGCTGCAATAAATATGAGAATAAATCATGGCTGCTTTTATATAAATATATGGGAGTGACATTACCTACCTCTTAAAATATTTTGTCAACATTTATGATACAAAAGGTATTATCATTGTATTATTTATTAATTTGTATTTAAATTGATGCCATTGATTTCACACTGACAAACTATAATCTTAAAACTGTAATTATTATTATTTTTTCTTTTTGGTTGCCAATTTTAATTTAAAAAAAAAAAAAATTAATATAATTTTTTTTACAATAACTTTTAGATTGATTTCAAATTATTTGTTTATAAGATAAATGTTTAAAGATATTTTAAACAGCTTTCTGGTGGCTTTCAAGTGTATTAAAATGACAGTCTAATAGACAAAATTCAATTGTTTGTCAGAATCGATGTTATTCATTTTTTTTAAAAAAAGGTTGTTTATTAACTTAGTAAGACTTTCTGAACAACTTTTTCTCAAGTTTAAATAAGATTTATAAAATTGATTCACAGGTAGAATTTCTTTTCCATAATGGCATGCAAAAGCACTCTGTCAAGTATGAGAGTTCATTAATAAATGTTGCGACTGATTATTATGTTTCATTACGCGCAGTGTGTGTTTGAGAGCTTTTATTAGTTAGTGAACGCTCTTCCCGCGCTAGACTCTTTGATGTATTTTTATACTGATTGTGACGTAATTTTCAGCCGTGCAGCAGTTTTGAGTGGAACTTTGTAGCAGTAGGATGTGTATTGTTTATGTCTGATAGCGAACTGCGCTACATTCATGTGTTTATGTGTATAGTATATAATAATAATAAGTGGTCTTATATAGCGCGGTATCCCAGCCTAGGACTGGGCTCACCGCGCTGTACATAAAAATATTAGCAAAGAGACATAATCATGATATTAAAATAAAATACATAAATGAAATTAAAAAAACACCATGTAAGCAAAACAAAAAAAAAGGTATATTCACCCACCAACCCCAGAAATTTTACAAGGCAACCCATGGACGTTTATCGGGTTGTAGGAGGGGAATACTTAGATATTAAAGTTATAATTATTATGAAAAGGACTTGAGTTTATTCAGTGATAGTAAGAATAGTACGACATATTCAACGTGTGAAAGAACTTGACGAATTAATCAATCCAGTAGAACATAGGAGTTGACACACTCAATTCTTTTAGACAATATTAAATTAACCCATTCACTTCTTCATGTTTTTCATTTAAATAAATTTCAACTTTTTTGGTCATTATTGGTTTCTAGTTAATTTCAAATGAATTGCGCTTACCATTGCTATTAATATTTTATAACATTGGTTTCCAACTATAACATAGTGCTTAGTATTAATATATGACTATTGCAGAGTTGTAAAATATGCAAATCAGGATTAAATTAAAACATATAAAGTACCAATTTATTTTTTTTTTCTTTAAACCCATCAAGCATTCATATCTTCTTTTTTTTTTTTTACCAAATTAAAACATATAAAGTACCAATTTATTTTTTTTTTTCTTTAAACCCATCAAGCATTCATATCTTCTTTTTTTTTTTTTTTACCATGATGTGATTCATATGCCTCTTAAGCCTAGGCCACTATCAGAAAATTATTCCGATATAAATAAAATGTATTTCAAATAACATTTCAGAGTATATGTTGATTCACTTGTATTAATTCCATTAAATAGTAGCCTAGTGACTATCATATAATTTTGATTAATAGAAATAGTGAATGGATGTCTAATAAAATAAATGAACAAAGTGCAGATGATTTAAGATGTATAATCTGATTAACCAATGAAGTTTTCACTACTAATATTAAATTATGACACTTAGAAATATTTTATATACTGAATGACTTGTTACTAAGGGAAAAAAAATTGTTTGTTATACCTCTGCTGCTTAAATTTTCAGCAAAACATCCATGATCATTTTCCATAATGTAATCAGTTTATATTTCATATGATTTGTAATAAATCTCTCATTTATTTCATTCACGAATGTGCATTCAATTTATTGACATTTTATACAACCTCAAGTCCTAAATTGTTGACTAATCAAAATGGAAAGGTTCCTCGCTTGAGGAGCTCTCGTCAGAAATTGGTAATTCCTCATTATTTGGACTTTCTTCACCAGATTGATTTTCATTATCATGCGCTGTCCGGGGGTCCAAAATCACATTCTGATTGGCCTTCAAGTATTTTTTTCTTTGGGTCTCTCAGTATAATTTTTATTTCCTTGCGTTTTGCAGTCTCCATAAGTGCTGTGTATTGTTCTGATGTTGTTTTGAGATAAAAAACATCTACAAATTTCAGTTCACTGGCACTTTGAAGAAAATTTTGAACAGAAGAAAATGTGAGGGAGGGGACTGAGGTAATGTGTAGTACCTGCAGGTGGACTAACCATTTAGACAAGATTGATAAACATTTTGACGTGAGATGGGTACAGGAGCATAAGTTTAAACGTTCCAGTTTTGGTAAATTCTGAAACGAAAATGAAAAAGTTCAACTAATTAAAATATGTAAAATAACTGAAAACAGGGATGATTTGAACTTGAAATGACAAATCAATATAATGTCAGAAACCTATCCAGGTTTTTCATTATTTATAAGAGAGGAAAAAAAGAGACTTACCTTGTTGATGGACATGATTACATAGCTTTGAATCATGAAAGGGTCAGTATGGCATCGCAGGATAGCTATTAAACTATGGAAAATCTTAACATTAACATAATTTCATCTAGTCTGATTACAATTTAAAGTAAATCCATTACACCGACCTGCACAAACTGATTAAGAACATTATCTGTTATGAGGTATCCACAACCTTTTAAGCTGATGGCAACAAGGTTTGGACATTGTGTCCAGATGGTACTTAGTATTTTTTTTGTCAGATAAACATCTTCCATATCCAACTGTGTAACTGTAGGGACCAGCAATGTTTGCAAAGATTTACTAGTTAGTCTTTTTTGTTGCTTTAGGCAACGAATCATATTTCTGAAAAACATTAAAAGATAGAAAAGTAGTAAAATAGATTTTAAAAATTACCTCAGATTTTTTAAGATAATTTTAATTCTAAAATCCCTAAAACTTTATTGAAAATGTTAACTGGACTAAAAGGGTTTTCAAAGAATTAATGCTTTAATAACTGGCATTCTTAGAGCTGCTTTTGTACAAGTACTTTAATAAACTATCGCAAATAATCATTATCTAGGTATTTATGTATGGCTGTGTTCAATAGGTGCGCAATATAAAATCCCAAGAAGTAGCACTAATTGGGATTCTTATAAATTTCATTACTTAACACATGTTTTGTCAAGTAGCTTTGTAGATGGGAACTTCGGCATTACCATCGCCATTTTTTGGCGGGTTATTTCTAGTTGGATAAATATGCTGATAATTTTTATTTGTAAAAAGACTGTCCTGGTAGTCTTAAATTTAAATTCTTTTCTAGGCACACATGATTAAACTCTGAATTAAATTTTCATCTAACACATGGAAATAAATGAAAGAGTTGAAAGTTGATAAGTCTACTGCTTTTATTTAATTTTAAAATTAAAAAGAATGTTTAAATTTTATTAGAGGTAATAATAAAGAAAATGGTGAGATGAATAAAATCATGCCTAATGATTTGTTCTTCTGTAAAATCCTGCAGATCATACTCATCCAAATGGTTGATGATATAATTTATGGATGATTCATAAAGGGTAGGAACCTTGGTGCCCAAGTGATATGGATTCTAAAAGACAAAATTTTTTTTTTTATTTCCGTTTAATCCTAATATTAATTTAAACTGAGTAGTATTCACCAGTACTAGAGAGCATATAATAAACTTTTATAACTTTGAGCACTAAAAAAATAGTATTTCCATCAAATTTTAATACATTTGGAAGCCCATATTGACTATGGTGCATGTTTAAATAAATGACAATGTGGATCCAAGAATTTTAAATACATGCAACTCACTTTCTCAAAATTCCTGAGATAAGCTGCCCTGATGAAAGTATAGCCATCTCTTTCCTTCCATTCATATCGCTGAGTATTGCGATATGAAACAGATGATTGAACATTCTCTAATACTTTATCTCTTTTATAAGATTTGAGCAAGTCAACTGTACAAAGCTCATCTAGGTCAACATAACCTAATTTAAAAAAAGTTACCCTAATAAGTAAGTAGTCCATTTACTAAACACTTGAAGAGATTCTCAAAAATTGAAGGCCTATGAATTGGTTTATTTTTATTCATAAATATTTGGTTATCATTTCATTAACTTAAGGCAAAATTTCCCAAAAATATTGATTTTAACTTTCTTTCCTTATTCAAACTTTCAGGCTTCCATGATAAAATGTTTTTGGTTTCATAACATAAAAAAGGACAGAGATTTTGAACACACATCTCAATTTAATAGGCCATAATCAATGTCAAATACTTACCATGATCATCCACATGTAAACCTTCTTTGTGAGCGCCATAGCGTAAGATATATGCCAAGCATTTAGATAGTCTTTGGAACTCATCATTTGATTTTCTACCATTATAATTTCTAAAGAATCTTGTATTTTTATTATCGCCTTGAGTAACCATTTTAAAAATAAATAATGAATGTAGCTTATTTCAGGAATTATGTAAGACTAAGAAACTTTTTAGTGTATTTCTGTGCAGAAAACAGAAAAATAACTAGTTTGGTACTACAGTGATTGATACTCAATTTGAGTGTACATTGTACATGATAGCCAAAAATAATATTACAATAGGTATCATAGTACTCATACTAATATGATAAGCATTTTTTTTAAATGTAGGCCTGCCTCATAATTAAATTTAAATAATGCACAGATCTAAAAGCAGTTGCAGCTGTTTGCAAGTAAATATATTTTTTATTCAAAATTGCATCAATGGAGTGGGTAGCTGTGCAATCTAAATTTGAATAAATTTTAAGTGCTTTTATATTATATTTTGAGTAACTTTGTCAGTTTACCATTGTACTAAAAATAGAATATGAATCCTTAGCTTCATTATTAATCAATAGATTAAGCAAGTAAATATTTTTTTTTTCTTTTTCAGCTAAAAATTAAACAAAATTTAAATAAGTTTTTAAAAAATATGAAAAAGATCTATTTATCGATTTTTGGGGGTATTTTTAACTTTTAAAAGTGAATTTTGACTTTCAGTGAAAGTCAATTCGGCAAAGCACACAATAATTGCCAGCTTTGTTAAACATCATTTTTAACTGCTATAAACTGTAGCTTGCCTAAAAAAATGCAATCTCAGCACTGATAGATTCTCTTTCTTTCTTTGAAAGGAGTTGGCTAATGGCTTATTAATATAATAACTTAGCTACTGGTAATGGAAAAACTATTAGCGACGGATGACCTAATATAGAAATACCAATTTAAAATTATATGAAAAAATTACTTCATTAATAAGATAATGAAGAGTTACGTCTATGCATAGTCATAGTGCTGCATAGTGTAGTTTTTCAAATTTTCATAGAATAGAATAGACTCGGCTTAGTTAGGGCTTAGAACTTAGACTTAGACTGACTCAAAATTAATGAATTATAGATTAAGAATTAGATAGACATTAAATTTATAGTCAAGGATTCAGAAATAATCATCAAGTATCAAGACCATGAAAATGATAAATGATAGGTTCAAGATTAAATCTTGAATTTGAATGATTCTGATTTACTCATTACAATTACACATGTACATCATAGTTAAGGCCAGCCTAGTATTTGTTACATGATATTGATTATTGTTTTGTAGAAATATTCTGTTCCATTGATTTTGATTAGTTTTAGTCTAGGCCTAGGCTTAGACTTAGAAGACTGTTCTACTCTAGGCCCTCATTCTACATAGAGCTAGCCTATATGCCTATATTAAGGCTAAGGCCCATGGCAAAAATTGAGTTCCTGTATTATAGGCTATATAATTTGTCTTGTCCCAAATTATACATATTTAGTTTAGTATAATATAATAGTTATAGACTTAGTCTAGTAATTTATGCCAGCTATGCACTTAGAATTCAATGGACAACTTTATAGTGTCTGTGCTGTGTCTATGTTGTTATTGAGTATAAAAAAAAAGTAAGGCCTTTTCATTTGGTGACGAAAAAATAATCAAAATATGATATATCTGTCTAATAAATCATCATCATCTGCACTAAAAGTAAAAGTGTCACAACTTTTTACAACAGGCCAATTTATTATTTTATTACATTAAATAGTATTACTATTATTATATATTACTGCTTTAATTTATATATAACACAATTTTACTGCTTATTTAGTCCATGCCATAAATCTGATGAAAAAAAAAATTTTTAAACTATGAATTAATCCCATTGTAAAGATACTGATTGCCTTGTCAGTGTTGATAAATGTGATGATTGAGTCCAAGTGGCTTCAACTTATAGTCCATGAAGTTAATGCTTATTTTACCCTTACTGACAATCAATATGAAATGGATGATGATTTAGTCATTGTGTAGAGCAAAAGACGTTTAAAGTCAGAAACTCGGGGGCAGAGCATTTCTTAGTGGACCAAGACTGAATGTGTTGAAGCAGGCCAGAGCTCTCCCCATGTGCAATAGTGCCATTTTTCATAATGATCTGGCCTAAGACAGTGATATTATAAATAAAAAATTCCTGACAAGTAACCTTATGTACATTTTATTTCTTTCAGGAAAAAAAATCACACTAAAATGACAAGTGACTTAAACCCAGTGGCTGTCATTCTTGTCACATCAGGGACTCGAGGAAACAGATTGTTATTCAGGCATCCATATGCTCAAGAACCCAGAGTGAAACAGAAATCTACAAAAGTTATACAAAATCCATACGCTGTTAAAATTGTAGATAATCTTCAAGATTTTAAGAAGGGAAAATCTTACCCAGCTCTGATAAGAGATGGTGTATTGGCAGGATTCTCTAACCAAACTCTTGCTAATTTTCTTATTGTCAAGCCAGAACTTTGTGGAAAGAAATTTAGTGTTGAAATAGATGATGTGCGATTTATTGGATACCCTATTTCTTTGGTACAACCTTCAAGAGACACAAACCTCCAAAATTCCCAGAATATGTCATCCAGACAGCACAACATTCTGTCTGTAAATGTTGTTTTTGTTTTAAGGGCAAATGTCCCAGATTCTGTGATCAGCTGTTACCAGGAGCTTGCTCAACAACTTGGTGTTGCCATAAGACATGAAGAAAAGAGATGCCAGTATTTAACAAAAGAAGCAAAGGTTTGTTCAAATACTTTGGACTTTTAATGAATGATTTTAACTTGTAAAAAGTAAAACTTAAATATTTTTCATTAGTAAACTAATGCTGAGTTTTTAGAGTGTGATTGAAATTCATATTTTAAGAAAGTGAAATGATTGAGTCCAAAAATGTTAAACCTCCCCATTCTCTCCCTCTCTCTCTCTTTAATGTAAAGCAACATCTTTATTATGGGTATGTTAAAGCTTTGACTACAATTAATTGAAGTTTGAATTAAATGTATAGTAAAGTTAAAATAAGAAGTATGTGTCTGACCCTTCAATTAAAGTGGATGTTCTTAAATTATACTTACTTATGCCATTTATCTCGTCTTGGGCATAGACCATCAACAAGAATTTTCTAGTCATCTCGATCCTATGCTTTCCAGTTGCTTGCAAGTGTATCCCATACTTTGTGCGTCTTCCTCCAGCTCGGGCTCCATGTATTCTTAGGCCTTCCTCTCTTTCCTTTTCTCTGTGGATTCCATGTTAGGAATTGTCTGGTTATGTTATCTGGGGGTTTACGAAAAGTGTGCCTTACCCACCTCCATCTTTTCCTTATAATGTCTTCAGCAATATGCTCATGGTATGTTTTAAACTATACAATTTGGAATTATTTTAGTACCTGTTGAAAGGTTTATACACTTAAAACAATGTGCACATTTTTTATTTCATTTGTTTGAAGGCCTGAACTTTTGTTTCTCATTTTATCTAAAAAATCTTTTGTTAATTAATATTTAAAGAAAAACTATCATTTCCCATTAGATTATGATGTCAGCATTTGAAGAGGCTTCAGTGACAGGACATGAGGACATTGTATCTCCAATGAAACAGATCATTCATTGTAGCTCTTTAGCCAAAGAATTGAAATCAACTTTTGATAATTTAGAGTCTTGTGGTCAAGTGCTCTTCTACTTAAATCAGTGGGTTGAGATAAATTTTTGCTTGCCGCATAAAATTCATGCGATACACATGCCTGGTAGGACTATTCAGTTGGAGTCTATATACAGGTAATCTCTTTAAATTTACGAAAAAATATTTATTTAGTACACAACCATTTCATGATGCTTGAAATTAATTGGATTTACAAAGAAAATAAAAATCGTAGCTAACATTTTGTCACATAAAAATGTACATATTTTCTTTAATAACTTGCTATTTATTACAGGTGCTTGTCCTACGTTCGACCTTACCATGGCATTTTGCTGACTAAATCAGAGAAAGAACTTCTTAACATTTTACCTCTTGACAGTTGTCCCTCTCTAGGGAGAGTCATCAAACTAACCACTCCAGTGAAGAATCTAAAAACTCTAGCTTTGGAAAGTGACCTCAGTATTACACAGGTTATTATGTGCTGCCCAAAATATTGTAGTGAAATTAGAACATTTACATATGAGGCATACACATTTTACTTTCATTTTAAAGTTTACAGTGAAAGTATAATTAAAGATTCTTTTATTAGAAATGTAAATCTTGATTAATTAGCATGGTTTTGTATAAACGTTAAATTTAATGACTTTTCCTTACATCAAAATATCCTTTTATTGAAGTTTAAAAAAAAGTGTCCATCACATTAATTTCACTTGATTTATGAATGTTATTCCCTCTCTATTTGTAGATCTACCAGCTAGTTTGTCATATGGTTTACTGGGGATTTGCAATGCTAATTTATCCTTTGTGTCAGTCAAACCTGTATATGTTGTCATCTTCAGCCAACACAGCTGTAAGTCTTAGATAACTTTCAGATAGCAGTTATAGTTACATCTTTAACTCTTAGGCTTCTCTGGTTATTTACAGTTGAAATGTTTTGGATGGGAAAACTGCATGCATTCATTATTTTGACTTCTCTCAAGTTTCAATTGCACTTTGACATCGTCAGGTTCACTCTCCGCTGAGCCAAGAGTTTTCAATGCGTTTCCCTGGATTACATCTTGCTCAAGAAATGGCAAGGTTTTCATTCCCATCATCAATGTATGACTGCCTGGACATGATGAAGTACTGCAGCTCTAGGTTGATCGACAGATCGACTCAGGTATAACATTGAAGAGCTGTAAGATATCGGTCATTATATTTGGCATAGTTTTTCTTGCATTTCAGTATACCCACACTGGCGAATTTGCACTGGCTTGTTTTAAATTGCCTCATTTTAATTATGAAAAATTTTAATTATAAACTATCTCAGTGCAATTTAAAAAATGACTCTCTTAACTTTAAAAAAAAAAAATGAATTATTTTAGTTTTATAAATAAAAATAAAGAAAAAGAATCAAGTTGTTAATTTAAAAAAGAAAAACTAAAAATGTTAAAAATTGCTTGTCAACTTAAAATGAAACTATAAACCTTTATTCTTTAACAGGTTGTAGTGTGGATGTTGCAGCACCAATTGTTAAATCAGAGACACACTTATGTCAACCTGGTGCCACCCAAGAAAAAGGAGCTGTCATCAAACTTTAATGCCAGCCATTCTACCATGTCCTCCACTCACTCCTCAAGTTCAAGTGTCCAAGTATGAATTTAACTGCTGGTATTTTTCACTGAGGAACTCCTGTCCTCCTTCTTCTTTGCCTTTTTCAACTCTTTCTGAGCTGTCTCTTGCTTTCTGCTCTAACTCTTTCTATCTTTCCATCCATCCCAGTGGTGCTACAGCCCATGTATGGCTTTGGCATGCCTCGCCACTTCCTTCCACTCAGACCTTCCATCCATCCCGGTGGCGCTACAGCCCATATAGGGCATTGCCTCACCAGTTCATTCCACTCAGACCTGATACTTTTCTTTTCCATGCTTGAATTCCCAGCTGCTGTAGATCTTTTTTTCCACATCATCCATCAATCTAAGCCTAGGAGGTCTACCTTCAAGCTGTTTTCATATGGGGTTTTGGTTGTGCACCCTCTTCATTCCTCTGTCATTTGGCATTCTTTCAAAGAATGCCCAGCGTAGCCTGTCCTTTCTTATTTCTGCTACTATTGTGGGATCCTGATATAGACTATACAATTCCTGGTTGGTTCGTATTCTCCATCCATTTTCATCCTTTGTTGGTCCATATATTTTCCAGATAACATTTCTCTCTCATGTGTTTAATGTGGTGTTCTGCAGTTTTTGTTGGCATCCAAGTTTTACTTGCGTATGTTACAACTGGTCGTATGTTACAACTGGTCGGATTACAGTTTTATATATACTTTTCTTTGTTTTTCTTATGTTTTTACTTTTTAGTCTTTTCTTTCCAATCTTTATTACGCTATTTACATGCTTGTTGAGCTCTCTTAGCCAGGTGTTTTTTGGATCTTCCTCGTCCTCTTGCCCATAAATATCCATAAATCAATAACAAGACCATTTATAGCAGTGTGAGCATAATTATTATTTAATTACATGCTCATTACAATTAATATCTGCTTTCTTTAACAATCAATGTTAAAGCAAAATTGCACCCTATTTGCTTTAAGAGCTTGAGATATTCACCTTTGCCATGTGACAATCTTTCTCCATTCGTTTCAGTCTTCAACTACTATTTCCACATGTGCCCACATTATTTCTCATTTCTCCTTATACTTTAATAAACATTTGGAGAATTTTTTTATGTTAAAAAAATCCTGACTCAATCTTTTGCGAGGACTGATACTAGGAAAAATTACATTTCTAAAAAATCAATGGTATCCTCCAAAGTGTTTAAGAATGAGGTTGATTTGAACCTTTTAACAACGTCTTGTATCAAGTTTTATTCCTAATGGTGCATGGAAACAAAAAACATGGATTATTAAGAGTGGAAGGATGTGTTGGTGCAGGCCAGTGCCCTCCATGGCCTGTACAGCAACTGATGACCTTAAAATAGTCTTCATATAATTATTTTAACACTGCATGTTTTTGTATGAATCTAATGGCCTATTCATTAATGACATGCTCTTAGGTTGTTGAAGAGTCTTACCTGTCGGTCCTGTTGGAGGACCCTGGCACGTCCACTCTTGACCATGCTACCAGTATGTCTGATATTGCTAGTGTCAACAGTGAAGAAAGTGGTGGCCAGTCGACAACACAGTACACCAGCCAGCTATCTAAATCTCCTGAAGCAAACAGTGATGGTTCCATTGTACCAGAGGATATGAAACCTCAGTGGAGGATTCCAGTAGGTGAAATTGGAATTAAGCCCATTATCCCTGGCCTATAGGAAATTGTCTATTTTGCTCAAACTAATAGAAATATCCAATTAATTGGTAGTGTGATAACAAAAAACAAAATCGCATAGGACATGACTGATATTGAAAACAATGTACCCAATTTATTTTGGGCTTTATTTGTGGGTCATTGTGTAATGATTCAAATAGGTCATATTCTCTAGCTTTTTTTTTTTTTACCCAACTTTAATGCTGGATGTGTAAATATTATTATAAAATAATATCATTTAATCATTTAATAGCTTCTGTTTTTTCTATCTGAATTCAGGTTTTCTCTTTTTAAAAAAAAATAATATATTCTTTTTAAAATAATAGAAATATCCAATTAATTGGTAGTGTGATAACAAAAAACAAAATCGAATAGGACATGACTGATATTGAAAACAATGTACCCAATTTATTTTGGGCTTTATTTGTGGGTCATTGTGTAATGATTCAAATAGGTCATATTCTCTAGCTTTTTTTTTTTTTTACCCAACTTTAATGCTGGATGTGTAAATATTATTATAAAATAATATCATTTAATCATTTAATAGCTTCTGTTTTTTCTATCTGAATTCAGGTTCTCTCTTTTAAAAAAAAAATAATATATTCTTTTACTTCTTAGTTTGAATGGAACACTTAATAAAAATTATGAGTTTTTGTTAGTTAAAAAGTATTCTCATTCAATTTGTCTTGGTCATACTAATTTAGGACACACTGCTGAATGAGCTCAAGCCACAGATGAAAGCAGCCATTTTGAGATGTTCTGCATCAAAAAATCCAGATGACCTGAATTTGTTTGCCAAGCTTTTCCCTTACTTCAATGGGAAGCACCATCTGGAAGAGATGATGTTTTATGAAAATCTCAACAGATCTCAGCTAGTGGCTCTACTTGATAAGTTCAAAGAAGTTCTCATATTGTGCAGCCATGAAGATCCAGCAACTTCACTTTTATAGGCAGTAAATACATGTGAGGATCATATCAAAAGTAATAATTGGTCAAGTGGAATGTGAAAGGTTAAACTTTTAAACAAATTGTCACAAAACAGGGGTAAAATGTAACTGGTAAGAGATCTCACATAGATGCATGAGAAAATAGTCTATTGATTGTGATCAAAGTTCAACATATTCTTTTTCAATGCTGTAACCTTTAAAAGTTACATGGTGGAGTTTCGAGTGCAATGAAAAAATGGCCAACTGCTCACTAACGGAAAATAAAAACAAATACAAGGTACACACGTTCAATAACTTGATAAAAAAAACAAAAAAAGGCACTTATTCTATTAAGTTTTAGTGAATATGAAATTATCTATTCAGCACATTACTGATGTTGTATCTGTTGTAAAAAGGTTACACCGTAGAGTTCATTTAAGGAATGTGTGTATAATGTTAATTTTATAAATATTGACTACTTTGTTCTTCCTGCTCTGCAGAATATTGTACATTGCGCTCTCTCTCTCTCTGTGTGTATATATATATATATATATATATATATATATATATATATATATATAAAATATACACTATATGTAACAGTGTTTTTTTTGTTCTTCCTGCTCTGCAGAATATTGTACATTGCGCTCTCTCTCTCTCTGTGTGTATATATATATATATATATATATATATATATATATATAAAATTTACACTATCTGGAACAGTGGTTCTTAACCTGGGTTCGATCGAACCCCAGGGGTTCGGTAAGTCAGTCTCAGAGGTTCGGCGGAGGTCCCAAAAAAATCAGAAAAAAAAAATCATATTTTATTTTTCCTATTAAGAAGGGTTTGGTGAATGCGTATATGAAACTGGTGGGGTTCGGTACCTCCAAAAAGGTTAAGAACCACTGATCTGGAAATTAAGTTTGAGCATTTTGTTTTGTTGTTGTAAAGTGTCTTGTCTTATTTATTCACACAGATAAGATGAATGATTCAGGTTTCTTAATTAAAGTTTTAAAAGAATTTTTTTAAAAAGATGTTGTTACACTTCGCAAAATCCCTGGACAAAGGATCATTAAGATGTCAATGTCCATATTGTGGTTGCTGAAACACTCTAAGCTTTATAGTCTCTGAATGGGCTTGGGTTAGCATGTGATATGTTTTAACTGGGTGGAGATGACATGCTGTCGGTGATGACTAAACATATTGTTAATGTATTCCATCCCATTGGGTGAAAGGTGTGATTAAAGAACAAAAGATGAAAGTAAATTCATCCCATTGTTTTAATTGATGTTGTAACATCAACATGTTCTCTGTATGTGGGGAAAAATTAGCTTGTTCTTGCTCAATCTTCTGGTAGCCATGATAAAATGTTAAAACATTCCATTTTCTGGTACAGATGATAATGGAATGAACAAATCACAGTCACACCAACAGGGATCATCAAGCCATGATGAGCATACCAATTCACCATAAATCAATAATAATGTACAAAAAATGAATTGTGAATATTAGTCACCATTTTCAAAGCATTTTGTTAAAAATAATTTTTTAAAAATAAAATCAAAATGTTAAGAATTTAAATGTTTTAGCCTCCCTTTAAAGGACTTTCTATGTTTGTCCAGCTTAATTTTTTTTTGTTTACATCCATGACCCTCTAGTCCCCTGTCAGTTGCTATGAACAGGTGTTTTTGTTTCCATATGGAATTTTATTTGGGTAATGCATTTTAAGAAATTTTTAACTATTTTATTTTTTAGTACTTTTCAACTCCTCTTACTTTGATAGTATTTTTTTTTAAAGTTTTAAAAAATATTTTAAATTCAAATTTAATCAACATATTGCCATTTGTGGTTTTGAAAAGAGGAATGTTTTAATTGAGCAAAGAACACATTTCATAATAAATTCCACTTAACATCAGAGTTAATCTCTTTGAAAAAGTAAAACATATTATAATGACAACAAAATCTTCAACATATTTTGACCAATGTTTATTTACTCATTTATAAATACACTTTATATCACATCATAATATGAAACATGTTGAAATTGTTACAAAGTATTGATGATAGTAATGAATTTATAGTTTTATATAGCACTATTCACACGCACAAAAATTTGTTCAATAAAAATTCTAACGGTTAGCAAAGGTTATTCTATTTCTCAGATTTGTATATTTTTTGAGGGTGTTGGAGTTAAATTGAGATATTATGAACTAGAAGAACACTTTAGTTAACATATACCTTGGCCTACTAAAACAGATCTACAGTACTGGTAGGAGAAGTATTTGATTTACAGAAATATCTGGTAAAAAAGTAGTCTTCAAGCATAAATTGTTAAGTTTTAAAGAAAAAAAATCAAAACATCCATAATTCAGGTATTACTACAACCAATATAAAGTCAACTTTTTATTGATTTATGGCTCTTAAATAAAACAAGCATTATGGGATTGGGCCAGTTAATTTAATGTATAAAAAAACTATAAAGTCTCTGCCCCCACCCTAACCCTTAAAATAAATTTAAAAAAAACAACACATTTTAATAAAGATTACACTATTTGTATCAATTGTTTTTATACTGGTTGAAAAGCTTTTATTCACATCCATTTATACAAATTTTGTGGCTTTTCATGAGTCAACAAGATCAAGCTTAGTTCATACCTGCACTAGCTTTTAATGATTGCACAAGGTTAACTGTGTTTGCTCTTTTTTTATAGTGATAAATCATTTGAGCAATGACAGCAAAATTTAATTCTAAGTAACTTAATTTATTTTTACATTCTTTTCCCCCCATAACATGGATTTGTTTCATATACATGTAAAAAAAATGTGTGAAGAATGATACAATGCAAAGGTGGTTTGGTGCCCCACCAAAAAAGACACCTGTTTTTTCCCTTGAGATTACATATTTCACCCTGTTCAGATGTTAACATGGAGTTAGCGAAGACTTGGCTGAAAGAAATCCTTTTGTCTTAGGAGACCCTGAATTGTGTGTTGATTTTGATATGCAAGGAAATTCATGATTAAAGTTTCTTTTAAAATGCTAATTGTGTGAGCTGAGAAACTTTAATTAGAGCAGTTACAGGAATAGGATTTAGGAATTTGAGCTTATAACATTTCATTTTAAAAAAAAGATTGACTTCTTAGGCTTTATTCTTCACTCAATTTAAGTCACTAGCAAACATATAGTGTAATTTAATTTCAACCTGATGCAGATGGTCTTTGATGTTATATAAAAAAAATGTACATTTATACTTAATACATTGTTTGATTAAAATGTGAAACTTAACCATTGTGGCTCTTGTACAACATAAGCACCAAATACTAGCACTGCATTTGATAACATTTCTTTACGTAATGTTTCAATTTTAAATACATTTAAAAAAAAAAAAAAAAAAAAAAATTAAAAAATCTAAAAATAAAAAAAATAAAAAAAAAAAAAAATAAAAAAAAAAAAAAAATAACATAAGCAACAAATACTAGCACTGCATTTTATAACATTTCTTTACGTAATGTTTCAATTTTAAAAAAAATTAAAAAAAAAAAAAAAAAAAAGTTTAACAATCTAACAATCAACAAAATTACCTCAACAGAAATTAATAAATAAATAAAGATGAGGAGATTAAGCCCCCCCTCACAGATGTTATAGGTTACAGTAAACACTGGACAGGACCATTAGTGTTTGTAAGATAAGATAGATTTTAAAAATTGTGACCTTTTAAGCAAAAGATATCAAGATAATTACGAAAAATTTTGTTCTGCCAAATTCATTTATTCCATTTACAATTAAAATGTGGCCATTCCAATCAATCATTCAAAGAAAAATAGCATTTCAACATAAGTTCATAGTTCATAGCCTAATTTTAGAGTTTTCAAATAGAAAAATATGTTTATTTTACTTAAGAGTAAAATAAAAACCAGTTATTATGTTGGCAAATGTCATCAATAGTTACCTCATAAATTTGTAAGAGTAAATATGCCTCCTTAAGTATTCAACCACAGCACATAACAATCCATGTCGATGAGAGCCAAGCAGATTTCAGCTACCACCAATAATGGTTGTAACATGACTTAATCAGCTAGGTATCAAATTCAAAAAACAATGCAGCTACACCTTGAAGCAGTGACATGAAACTTGAGAAATCCTGTCACTGTAACTATTTTTCAAGCACCATTTCTACAATGCACACAGCAAGTCCCCCACCTCATCCCTGTGGGACCTGAACCAGCCACATCTAAATAGGTATGACATATTTTCCAGTCAATATTTAGCAACTAAATCTTATCAAAATGGTATCAAGTATTTCAATTTTTTAAAATTACCAGTTATATTTATTATTATTGCTTAATCCATTACATACATATGTTACATTACTGGCAAGAATTAAAATAGAGCTATCACAACCTCAAACAGATATTCTAGCATCACCCAAGGAAAGCAAGTAAATGCTACCTAACATATTCAATAAATTAAGACCTTTGTACATTAAATAAATATTCTTAGCCGACTAGCCATTAAAGGCCGTCAATAACAGTTTACTGGTTTGATAGAAGTACTTGTATTCAGAATATACCATGAAATTTGAAAGCAGCTTAGCTACACACCTTCTGTCACTGGAAATTTCTGCATGGCACTGCTTAAATTTGAAACAAGTAATTAAATAGCTAACACTAATACAACCACTTGATGAGTGAGGTAAACAGTAGAACCAACATTCCAGAACTGAACTGATTATTCCATTCATCAATATAAAATTACCGACCTTAGATGATGTGACAAAACACCAAACGCATGTTGATGTGACAAAGTACCCGTGTTGCTCACCTCAAACCCCGCCCCCCACAGACACACAAACGCAGAAATTTACAAGATCTCCCAGTCGGCAATGAAAGTGCACAGATAGACTTTTGAATAAAACCAGTGACACGAAGTCATGAAACATTTGTACAGGGTTTTGTTGATTATCCGGTCTCTGTCCATACACCGGAACAATGCAAAGTAAACATACTAAAGGTGTGAAGCTATTGTAACACTCCACCAGTCATGGTGAGCAGAAGCACATAACAGATAATAAGCATAATATTTTAATATAATTTTATAATATAACATGTTTTGTCAGAACTGTTGAATCACACTAGCCAGAGAAACATTTTCTCACGGTCCACTCTTACCAGAGCCCAAAGATAAAACTCTCATTGAAATCATGGGAGTGTGGAGAATATATAATCATCTGTATTGGAGCTTTAAATTTCCTGTTTTATAGTTTAAATATTTAAAAACAAAAATCCTTAGATAATTTCCCAGCATATTACCTGAGATAAATGTTGCAGCTCCTAAAATGTTTCAAGATACCAGCTACACCTGTTTGTTGAAACAGGGCCACAACAAAGAAGGAAGTCAATGAATGTAATAACTACTGAACCAACACAAGCCACTCAATGTGCACTTATAATTCTCCACTGCTTGTTAATTTTGTATCTACATAAAATTTAACTAAAGCTTTGAAATAACCCTAATGGAATGTAGGACAAAAATCAGCTAATAAAACAATAAAAATAGTTTATTGTGGTTTTAACAATCAAGTTGAAAAACTTTCATTATTTTTCTAAAATAGTTTAAAGATAATTCCTTTGCTTCTTTGAAAGAAAATTAACATATTTACAATAAAAAAACTCAGTCCAAGAAAATATTTTGTTTAAATTTGAGAAAGCTTAAAAATAAATATAATTGAATCATAGATTCTCTTAAAATAAAAGAAATAATCCAAAATGTATTAATTTAATTTTTAGTATCTTTTCCAGGAAATTGGACACTCACATCACAATGGGTGGGAAGGTAAAAATTGAGCAAAGGTAATTAAATTTAAAATCTTTTTTTTTTAAAACAAAAAATCATAGTCCATGAAAATTGATGCTTCTCTAGAGGTGGACAAATGCTGATACACAACCTTCATTCCCCAAGCTCCAAAAAGCTCCTTGAAAAAATACAAAATGAGGTTTGGTCAGTTTGTATTTTTGATGGTGGAATCTGTTTCAGCCTAACAAATTAAATACAATTGTATTTAAAATTGCATTTATCTTATACCAATGGGGCTTTTTAAAATTTTATTTAACTCTAAATGGGTTTATGATAACACATTTAAATAAAATATCTAATATCATAAATATATCAGAGTGTATCAAAAGTAAACGTCACCAACTCACTCCATGATTTAAGAAGCACAGATAATAACTGCAGACTAAGCTTTGTTCTCTGGAAGCACCATTGATTTAATGTTACATTTCCATTGTCAAGGCTTTGTCAATAAATAATAAGGGTAATGTGCACAAGAACACACAAGTGATTCAACCATACACCTGAACACTGGTTTAAACAGATAAATGTACTGGGAGAAAATCATATTAAATACAATGGCCATGTTTTCAATTCACAAGCAAGTAAAAACTTGTTCTAGTTTCTAACTAGGGTTGCACTTTTTAATCAGCATATTATTTTTCACTGGCCATTAAGCAGATTAATCAGAATCTTCTTTTTTTAAACATGGTATTTTATTTTTTTAATCATAAAAAGTGCCATAAGTTAGATGTAACTCTAGGTGGCTTTAATAAACCACGACATGTTTTAATATGATTTTTTTAAATAGAAATTTAATAGATCTGTGCAAAATGTGTGCCTTTTGTTTCATTTTTTTCCCTTCACTTTGGTGATGTTAGAATTTGAAATGAGGCAAGCTCAAAGCACTACATATCAGTAATTGGCCCTTTTGCCTCTTTTGTGCAACCCTTTTTCAAACCTGTCTGAAATTAATTATAATCATCGCTTCAGCAGGAATATTTTTTAAAAAGTCCCAGTCACAGGTCACATTTCAAAGTAGAAAAGCTAGTAAAAATAGTCAAAGTTATCAATGGCCATTCTTTGATTTAAAGGTAAAATAGATGTGCTGTCTAAGGCAATTTTGTCAAAGACACATTAAAACATAATAATATCCTGTCTAAACCATTTCTGCTCTTCAGGTTTCAAGCAGAGAACTATCAAAAAAGGAATATACTTTCATTATGCTTTCAGGTTGGTGTGAATGGAATTCAATTTTGTTTTGTTATATATAACTACCTTTTAAAATGTTGAACTTTTTAAAAATCTTTATAAGCATCTGAAAACATGAAGAAATAAGAAGCACAATCACATTTAAAAAAACAAAAACAAAACAAACATGAGTCTAATGTCAATATAACCATCCGAAGTATTATGCTTTCTTATATTTGTTGAACCCCCTTGATATAACCCAATATGTATTATTCCACTCATTCAGGCTACATAACAAAGTTTATCAACTGTCAAGCCATTTAAGTTGGAAATTTGGAAATGAAGTAACATCTCATATTTCAAGAGCACAAAACAAAAAGATACTAAAACGACTAAGAGAACAAAACTGCAAGACATTCACAATAGGCAATTTTTACAACCAAGCTTGCTTTGAGCTAAAAAAAAAAAATAGTGCACAATCCGATTACAGGTATGTTTCACACTTTACTGCAGTTTTTGTTCTTCACACTAAGGTTGTTACTGGGTGTTGAGTATTAAAATAAAAAACTGTAAAAAAAAAATTCTATATATATTCTTACAACCTAATGAAAAAGAAGATCTGCACGACATGTTATATCTTGTTAATCATATTTTTAAACGGATCTAAAATGGGAAAAAATAAAATGGTTCAATAAGTGATTGAATGATCTAAACGGGAAAAAAATGTCAAGATATAGGTAGAGTTTTATTTCACACTGACCTTTTTAAAAAATGCAATCAAAACTTTGCAAAGCTTGTATGATCTCATAAGTCACAAATATCACATTCATCACACACTGTGATTGTTCAAATATAATGCCTGCACAAAATTATTACAGCACTCAGCTATAAAATATACCAAACTATTTTTATCCATAAAACAAATATGGCTTCAGAAAGGATTTGGTGGCACAACTGAATGAGTCACAAATTACCACAACATAACCTGTTAATAAAACTCATTGATCCATAAGGTGTGATTTGACTTCCACTCATATCATGGGTGTCCATTTTTTAATAGGAGGAATCATTTAAACTTTACATTACTAAATTCTTTTTCATTTACAAAACAAAAATTTCACATTCCTGTACTCCGGAAATTAAAATAACACTTTAAAATCATTTATTCATAGGTAAAACTATCACACAGATGCCTCATAAGTGTCATAGACACTCTTAGTGTTTTCCTTTCGAGGACCCTGACTCTGCCGGCGGAGTCTTTCGTGGATCCTCTTGTCACGAATCTCTACAGCATCAGTGACCTGCAGAGCATGAACAAAAGAAAGGGGCTGCTGCATGGAAACAGAAGAGGACTGGCTAGGGTGACGTGAAGATGCAATGGAAGGGTTAGATGATGGAGGTCCAGGAATTTTGCTGCTTATGGGGATGATCTGATGGGTATTTGGTTGGCGAGCTATTGAAGGTGATCGTAAGGAGCTGCCTGAAGACAGGATTGAAGAACTCCCTGGGCGACCAAAGCTGCTACCTATATTGGAACTAGGAAGAGGATGATATCCTGAGATGGTCTGTGAGTTGTTAGCTAGGTAGACACTTCCTGAACTAATACTGTTCCCATCCCCATAACTTCCTTTGGATGATTCAGAAAGATTCCTTGGGAGGCTGCGTTCTCTGCCAGCTGGTCTATCCCTTGTTGCTGACCTTTCTCTAGGAGGATCAAAATCAAAGCTCTTGGAACGATCCCTATCTCTCGGCCGATTACCTTCTTTAGGATGGGACTCTGACCCCATTCGAGGCCTAGAGTCTTGACTTGAGTCTCTATCACCATACTTATTTGAATTATCTTCCCTGTAGTACCTGTCTCTACTAATGTACCTACTATCAGAATCACTGTTACCTCTATCCCGGTCTACCTCTCGTGCCCTGGAAATGGGACGAGGGTTATCCCTTGGAGAATTACCATCTCCCCTAGTCCTTTCTAATGTATTATAATATCTGCTATTGCTATCGCTGCTCTCCTGGACACGAGTAAGTTTATCCGTTGAGCGATTAAGCTGATCACTGGATTCCCTTGTGCCAGATAGAGACTCCCTTGACCTATTCAGATATTCTTGTGAACGATTCAAATTCTCTCTCGAGCGACTTGGGTAAAAGTTCCTAGCCCTGTCTTTAATAGGAGATGTAGATAGAGGAACTGAATTCCCCTTTGATCCTCCCCTGGCTGGTGATGGGGAGTGAGGTGGATGAGGAGGCCTACCCAAACCACCTCTATCCCCTCGCTGGCTTGGCGGGGATACATGATGCTGGGGAGAGCCTACTCTAGGTGATGGCTTAGAAGAGGGTGCTTTGGGTGGTAAGTTTTTATCCACATTGGAGTTATGAAAGCCAGGCCCATTGGATGAGGTGCTCCTTTTAATGCCAGGGCTATTTATTGATGCAGGTCCATCATGGCCAAGAATTGTGGGATCCTCCTCACTTTTCACGAGGGGAGCCTTGTGGCTATTGAGATTACCTCCATTCTGAACTGTGTAAGAACCAGGCTTCCCAGGTCGCTCAAATGTATTCCTGATCTGTGCTTGATGCAAGGTTGGGGGCGATGAAGGTCTCTTAGCATGATTGGATTGAGCATTAGCATGCAGAGTTGCCCCCACTGGGATAGGTTGCTGCTGTTGATTGGCACTAGTATCAAACAGATTAGTGTATGATCCCCCTTGCTTACGTGTTGCTGGAGGGGAAGGATCACAGTCAAAGGACTGACTACTTTTGTCCAGGTACTCATCATGTTCGTGGGTACTGCGCGGCCTCAACTACAGATTAAAAAAAAAATTTGAAGGAAATGAAACCATTCAAATATTTCATTGGATTTTCATTATGGAGATAAAAACTCAAAACTGTTAAGAATCAATTTTTTAAAAACTTATTTAGAATATTATATATAATATATTGCTATAACCAGATTAAAAAAAACATAAAGAAGTGAGCAAATCAAAATTACAGAAACAGCCAAAGCCACATCGAAGCCATAAAATGGGTATATGTGTGTGCTTGTGAGTCTTCAAACACATAATTTATCTAGTCACTTATCTAGTCTAGAGGTTGAAGCTCTATATGCAGAAAAATTTAGAAGGAAGGCGTACATGTATATATTTAACAAAATCATTACATCTGTACTTTGACTGTGATTTATAAAACTGCATATGTAACATTGTAACATGTAGTAATGAAAATACAGTGTGCAGTTAATTAGGATTTTTATAAAGAGATTGGTTCTGTAATAATGCACTGGCAGTTCCACAAAAGGCAGGGAATGGGTTCTTTGTTCTTCTACAATACTTGCAGATAAATTGTTATATCAGCCCTCAGCCCCTTAACGAAATAAGTAATCATAGAAATACTCCAAAGTGGGAATGTAAACTAGTGTATGCTTAACAGATTTCAAGAACTAAAAACACAGTTAATAGACGATATTGACTTAACTAAACAATTATTCAATTTTTCCTATAAAACTTGTCAACTTGAGAGTTGTAATCATTGCAGTTATCTGTATATTTAACTTCATCTGTGCTGGGATACATCTAAATGGCATTAATTTGTCCTTGGAATTTAGTTTTATGCTGGCCTAAATACTTGGATGTTTTAACCAGATCAGCTGATGTTTTTATGGTTATCAGATTTCCTTGTCCCTGTCATATTCATGTGTACTTTGTAAAGGCATGCTACGTGTTTGAAATAATATTTGATCTGCAAACCCACGCCACATATCAAAACCAATCGATTAAGTCTGGACAATATACATGTCGATTTTAAACATAATTTGAGTGTGCAATTATTTTTCTTTTATAAAATGCAATTGACTTTTACATAATCATCATCAAAATTGCTTTGTGAAAACAACAAATAACAAAACAAAAAAAACTGCAATAACCATAGGAACAACAGCTGATCGCAAGAGAAGCAAGTATCAGTAAAAAGATGGAAATTATTTCTTTTCAATCTGTAAGTTCTTTGCTGCTCACAATACGGTACTCACTCTTAGATGAACTTTAAGTCTTGCCATAGCTATATTTTAAAATATTAATTCTTAAAAATTGTGATCAAGTCCTACAACTCTTCTTAGATGTGTAATTAACGATAATCTAAAATATAATACATACAAGTTGGCTTTCTTTTATCTTAACTATAGTCTAATACATATTTTGTGCCTCACTTTTATCTTATTAACTATACGTTCTAATGCATATTTTGTGCCTCACTTTTATCTTTTCCAAAATTCACTTCTTAAATTTCCATTCAAATGATCTTATCAACAATGAGTTATGGGGTTACAGACAAAAGCACAGACTCTTACGACCCACATCGAACTCATTTGTTTTCAGCAAAAAACAATCTATTCAACAATGTATATTTTTTTTGGTTTACCTTCAAAGGGAAGTTCCATAAACTTAGCATGCAAGAATTATTTTGTTTAACTTTAAACTAAATCATAATGCAAATAAAGCTAAAAACAAAATCTTTTTCTTTTTTAAAGAAAAAAGTTAATGCAAATAAGTGGTTTAAAATAAGGTTTGCAACACAAAGAAATATAAATCATAGTTACTTATGAATTTAGTAAAACAACAAAATGATTAATTTGCCTTTGTAAAATCAAAACTTTTAATAAGTTTTCTTGACTACTGAATTCAACATTGTTGTTGCAAACAATTTCCTTACCCATCTACCGGTAAAGGAACAACTCGCTGGGAATATTCAAATATTCAACATTAATCCATTCTTTTCTTTTAAACACCACTATGGCATGCACAGAAATACAGAATTATAACTTTCAATAAAAAGTTCTTTTGTTAAAGAATAACAAAAGATTTTGAGCTTTGTGAGTGAAGATATGAAATATATCTACCTTTTTATACCAGGATCTAAAAATCTGAGATGTTTTTAAAAAAAATAATAACAATCTCAGAACAATAATACAGAAGTAATTATAAATAAATTCTAAATCATTGAGCATTAAGAAAAACTATCAAGTTTAATTTAGGACTTTATTAATTCTGCATTATTGTTCTAACATTATTATTATTTTTTTTCATAAGCATTTAGTTTAGTTCAGGTTAATTAAGTACACTGTCTGTCAACAGTGGCTAACCCAAATCAAATGGAGCAACGACTTCAATTAGCATTAGAATGGAAAACCTGGATGTAATTCTTATAAATATTGTAACAACTCTTTTGGATGTAAGGACTCACATTATGATTTTTTGTAATGGCTCTGATGCCATTCGAGTTGTTTCCAGCTGTAATACTGACATCATTTTCTGCTGCCACGTAAGTTATTTTGCTAGACTCCAACTTCACAGTCCTAGTTTTTGGAATGTAACCTACAAGTCTACAGGAAATCACACAAAGAGATTGAAAGAGCAGAAGTTTGAAATGTTTTTTTGTAGGTAATGTTTTTTTTTTCAACAAAAGTATAAATGTGGGAAGAGACCAATACCTAACAATAACTAACACAATTTTTTTTAGCATTGTTAAAGATTAAAATTTAAACTTTTGTTTTTTAAAAAAATAAAATAAGTTGCACTTAGAAGGGAGACTAGAAATATTTCTAAATTGCAAACATCTAATAATTTTTTAACTCTACAAACAAATTTACACAAAACCGTCCAAACATTGAAATTGCTTAATGTATTGAATATTTAAAGGGGATACCGTAATACAGTAATTTTTATAATTATTGAAGAGGTCATTTTATTATTTATTTTAACCACTTTAAGAGCAATAATATACAAGTTCAAAATCTATGTGAGAATAATACAGAAACAAAATTAAATAAACCTTACTTTGGCCATCTAGGTCCATAAAATACATAGCAGCAGTTTTTTATACAACCTCTTGTAAATGGATTCGTGCCACCTTTAAATTTCCCAGTAACCTGAAATAAAAACAAAAACTTGCACTCGGGGATAAAATAAATTTACCGTACATGCAAAATGAGATTGTCAAATTTTATAATTTTGTCAATAATAATTTGCTCACCTGCTCATTTGTTGTTGTTCCTTTGGAGACTAAAAATATATGGAATCCAGTTAGACCAAAAACTGGAATTAAAACTAAACCTATGATGATCATAATAACTATTCTAGAAATGAGTTAAGGAAATAATTTGTAAACAGTACAAATTGCCCAGGGGGTTCTCACAGCTAACCACTTTGTACCACTTAAATTACTTTTCTACAATGTGCATCTTTTCAAAATTTAGAATTCTCTTTTTTTATTTATATAAATATATAAATTAATTTAAATTTGTAAAAAATATATAAATATGTATATATGACTTTTTGTTATACAACTCTCTTCCAACTGATTCACTTTCCCTGAAGTTTTTTAGCAAATTGTATTAACCCTTGTTAAGTTAACCTGAACTAAGATGGGCCAATCCAAATGAATGAGAATTGTGCATTTGTCTGCATGATCCTTTCTTTTTTATAATTATTTCATTTTTTCCACATAGATTTTATTTCATTCAAAATTTAAAAAAAACAAAAAAAAACAGACTATCAACAGACTATCAATAGAACAAAATTCAGAGAGAGAGAGAGAGAGAAGAAACACTGGTTAGATATTAGCAATCATGCTGAGCTATCTAGTCTTGTTTGCTTTGTATTTCGTAAAAAACAGCCTACTTGGTTGAGATTTTTAAGAAGGAGGTAGCCCTTACATTGTGCCGCCAAAAATGATGTCGAAACAAATTTAATTAAGATACTTAAGACTTCTAATTTTTTTTTCACATAAAAAATTATATATACAACCATTATTTTTATCGGGGGAGGTCAGTCTGAATGCAAAAAGTATGCCCCATTTGCTACCCCATTTCCTAGAGCAATTTAGAATATGCTTGAAATTATTATAACCAAGAATTCAAAAATATATTACACAACATGAGAAATAATACATAATTGCTTTTCAAATAAAACACAAAAATAAGGTTAAAGGTCTTTAGCTCTTGATCCTGCACAATTGTTTGACATGTACAATCTATGGATAGTGGAAAGGATACGATATAATAGGACCAGGCTCCAAAAGGTTATTTGCATGCCGCAATGCATAAAATACACCTTGCGCAAAAATTGTTGTAATATGAACACACAGAGTCAGTAAAAATGTAAAAAAATAGCGATAGTTTCTGCGGCCTATGCAGTTGTTTAGCCATGGACAATGATGATCAAAAGTCTGAAAATAACAAAAGTAAAATTTTGACAGTATGATTAAGTGTTCTATAGCTAATAAGGCAAAATTAAAATGGATTTTTTTAAAAACAATAGTTTTTTCATCTTTATCTGAAAGTAAATGTAAGCAATTAGGGCTGCTATCTTGTCTTACTTTATTATCACTGGACACAGGCATTAATAACTACTCATTGCAGTCTATTCATCAAATAAGGACAACTGACAGATCCAGTAATTAAATTCACTTACATCAATACAGTTATCACATGAACTGCAATGTGAACTGCGGGGAGGACGATAAAACTGGCAAGTGGTACACCACTTCATTCGTGTTGGCACACTTCGAATCTCTATATTCTTGTAGAGCGGAGATCGAAAGTCATCATCTTTAGCTTCATCATCTGGAGCTGAAATAGATCCCAAAATTTGATTCCTAAATTCTCTAAGATGACCTTTTATTTTCAAATAAAAAAAACGTAATAAATCATTGTTTTTTCATTAATTATCTACTTATTAAGTTTATTTTAAGCACAACACACTTGCTCCTGATATAACACTGTTTAGCAAAATAAAACAGTTTAAAGCTACAGGTATTTAAAATCTAATAAGCCTCAGGATGATTATCAATTACATTGTTACATTAAGACTATTGCATTTACCACACAATGCATAAAAAGGTGATAACTTGTGTAGTGAATGCTAGCTTTATACATGAACATATTTCTATTTAAATATCAAATCTTCTTAAGGCACAGTAATATAGTGGACTAGATATAGCCCACCAAACATTAATGAGAGCAATGAGTGAACTTCCCATCTACTAAAGTTACTTGAAAAAAACGTGAACTCAAGTTACGCACATTTAAGAATGCAAATTTTGCTACAACCCTTCTCTCCCCCCCTTCATGATACGTCACGGCACACTTTTTATTTCACGCCCATGAACTATATAAATATAGCCGACCGGCGACTTAGCATACAACACCGCGAGCTTGTTGGGGTGTGCACATGCAGTGCACATGTCTCGAGACCAACGATGGGGAGGCAAGGAAGGGTTTGCCTGCGTCTTGCTTGCTCTGGCGTATCTATATATTAGCCTGCGTGTCACAAATGACCAGGGCAGGGTGTAACAATGGCGCTCCATTGCATTTCCATGTTAGTAATAATGCTATTTAGTTCGGGTTTTCCCCATGGGTTGCACCACGTTAGCTGGATTTTGAATGGGTGAGGGGCGATTTCCGGGGAAGAGGAGGAAAAAATATTTTGAGGTTAAGGAGCGTGGAAGCTTACTGAATGGTTTTGGAAATTGGGAAGCGGTGAAGACTAATGGAATGTCAACGGTTTGAAAGGGAATATTTTTAAACTGTATTGGATCTAGTAATACATTCTTTGTTTATCGTGGTTAATGAGGAATTTATTGGTCATTCTTTGAAGTCTGTGTTGTCTTCGTTATATCTCCTCAACGTCTGGACACTGAACTTTCACAGAGAGGAGCAACCCCTGCATCAACACCAATACTACTTGGCACGCAACGGGCAATTCCTCATACTATCATCATCTAATCTGTGACACTGCGTCGTTGTCTTCTTGCTACATGCCCTAGTTTCGCTGGCGAATTATATATATAGATTCTTTTTACAAACTAGTACTAGTTGCAAGGAGTGGGTCAGCTGAATAAGATTTAAGCAAGCATACATAAGTACAGGCTTTCCATAACTTGAGTACAATATGTAGTTATATGAAGACTATAAAAAGGAAGTGAAGATGTAGCAGTTGGTAAATCTATCCATTCATCACCATTACTGAATGTAAAGCAAATTATGGTCATTAATATTTGTGTCCTTGGAGCATGCCTTTCCATACTAATAATTTCTTTCATAATTTAATTTTAATTAACAATGATTAATCAGAATATGCAAATAACAACAAAATAATTAAGCAAAGGGATGCTTTACTAAGTAAATGTTGGCTCCAAAGTTTTAACGTTTACCTCTTGGAAATATCCCAGGGTCCATAAATGTGGAGAGGCACAAGTTGAGCATCATGAATATGGTGATGACTCCTTGCACTATTGGAAAAGCATAACTGACCTCCTCTGTTAAGTAACGACACCTGAAAATTTAAAAAAATTAAATATCACTTTCAGTTTTTGAAAATAAGTTTTCAAAGTATTTAAAATGTATCAGCTTTCTCTGATCTCACTTTTATTACAGAAAAAATATCTAATGTTACTTGTGATAATAATAGAATTATGAATAGTCTACATTTCTTTATTTAAAAAAAGAAACAGAATCTACCCTGGCTCATATACAAAAAGTAGGTTCTATGAGCTCTTCAAGAAAAAGAAAGTAAACAGTATCAAACTTGCAGGCACAGTGTAAACACATACGAATCCATCCCTTGCTATAATTTATTAGAGGCTCTGAAGGATAAGATGCAGCTCTGTATTTACTAATCTAAAAAGGTATGCAGCTCCCAACAAACACCAGCTATACATGGATTACAAAACAGCATACGATATCGTAGACAGGAATTGCTTATACAACGATCTACAAGAACTTGGAGTCCCTAACAAGCTTACTGGCCTCATACATATGACAATGGGCTCAATGGCTAACTCGAAAAGTAGAATCAAGGGGTAGGAAGAATACTCAGGGAGTTCCCAGTTAATCGGGGCCTCAGACAAGGAGACTCACTATCATATATCCTGTTTAACATCACGCTAGAAGAAGTTATTAGAAGCATACACGTGAGCACAGTGGAACCATAACAAGCTACTTCCAGAGAGGTATTACAGAACAACAACCATCAGGAACCTTATATAGCCAACCATTGCAGTACCTTGCAAATGCAGACAACATAGTGCTACTGGGCAGAAACAGTAATTACATAATCATAGCATTTAGGGAAATTGAAAATGCCTCATTCAAAGCTGGTCTTGATGTAAATGAATTGAAGACAAAATATATGATAATGTCAAGAAACTCCCATGCTGAAACACAAATTTGAGAGAGTGGCTACATTCAAATATCTAGGGGCAACTATAAACGAGCAAATGAAATAATGAGGTGAAAGAAAGGATAACAGCAGGCAACCGCTCCTATTTCAGCCTACAAAAGCTACTGGGAATCAAAAACCACTCAAGGGGCATAAAGAAGACAATATACACCACTACCAGAAAAGCAGAGAACCTTCTCAATACATGGGAGAGGAAAATCCTCAGAAAAATATACGGCCCAGTGATGGAAAATGATATCTGGAGAATACGTACAAACCAAGAGCTTTACCAATTGTAAAAAGACCCACCCATAGTGGCAGCGATTAAAAAAGGCAGACTACGCTGGGCAGGACATATTGAAAGGATGCCAGACTGCATTATTTGAATAATGCAGCCCTGAGAAAGCTGCCCCTATGCAACCGTTTTGTCCCTGCTACAGGGCGAGCTAGTTGCGTTGTGGAAACCCACTGTGGAATCCCTCTTATAGAGCGTCTGACGCTTTCCCGGGATGGGGGGGGGGGGGGAAGATTTTAGAACGTAAATTTTCCATCCCAACCCCTAAAGAATTCCTAAAGAAAGTCGATCATGTGCACTGTTTAAACGCATTGTGTCGGACCGACCGGATGCATACTGGTTGGGCCGGGGAGGGGTAATTTGGGGGGGGGGGGCATAAAGAGTGCAAACTCGCCCCGCTGACGCCATTTCTTGATGTAAAGGATGACGGAATGTAGAGCAGAAAAAGTGATATACAGGCAGAAAACTTGGGGCAGACGATTCACCGGTCGCCCAAGGCTGAGATGGATCGATGATGTAGAGAAGGATTTACACCAGTTGGGGGTTTGCGCATGGATCATTCCGAATTGAAGGATGTGATGGAGCAGGCCAGGGCCCTACATGGGCTGTAGCACCACTGATGATAATGATGCAACTCCCAAAAAATTTTCTTAGCAGATATAATTAATTACTCTTTAAGTAGTATTTTTACATCAAAATCTTTTTTAAAATTTTTTATAGAACAATGTTAAGTATGACTACATTTAAAATAGGGATGTTACTTTTTGGCAAATCAGTTGTCAATTTTTAGTATCAGGTTATAACCAGTTATTAGTTCTTATAATGTATTCCCAACTTTCTATGCAGCTATTCCTCTTGGCATGATATTTTATAAGATTATAAGTGGCAATTGAAGTTTATTTTCAGAAGTGATCGAGAAAATATTTCCATGTTCATGTGACCCACATGTGCAGCGTGAGGCAATTGCTACACAACCACAAAGAATACGCTGGAGAACCTTTAGTTACGAGCAGTGACAAGTCTGCAATAGCTATAGAAGAATACATGCAACTTTGTATTGCATTCAAGCAGAACTTGACCTATGAAAATGACCTCCCTTCCTCAGAAAAATGACCTCCCTTCCTTAGCTGACCCCGATCATGTGCGGGTTATGGTAAGACATGAAGCAAGTATTACAAATGCCTATTATGTATAGTTTAGGTCTAGGGCCTACTTACTGTTTATTATTTTTAAATGTCTTCTATTTAGCTAATTAAAAATAGGCAGTTTTTACAAGTCCGGCGACCGGACAAATAGTGCGGGAGATATACGTCCGGCGGGCATGTCACGTGACTGCCCCGCCGGATGACTAGTGGAAGATATTATTCTGGTGGCAGACATGTCATGTGACCACCAGACAACTAGTAGATGTTGTTATTCCGGCAGGTCATGTGACAAGTGGTCGCCAGCAAAATAGTTGCATTGCATACGATATTCCACTATTGTGTACCGGTACATATATTAGTCAGCCGATCCTTAGATAATAAATAAATACTGAACATGTTAATATATTTATATGCTATGTGATACATAAGTGTTTGACTTTGAATATTAAACTAGTCGGCCTAAAAACTAACTAGTAGTACTATTACTACTATTACTAGTCTATTTAATTCAGACTCTTCAGATGTGTAGACACTTCGTTAAAAATAATATTTTCTAGATTTAAAACAAATTCTCTTTAAAAAATGTTAGTTTAATGTTTGATAATTGTTTTTTTAATTTCAATAACCTGTTATCGGTTGCAAAATCTGATCATGTTTTGAAATCTTTATTTTAGATCTTGCATTTTACTGTAATTTGCATGTCAACACTGTAAATAAGGACAAGGAAAATATTAAACTTTTATCATTAATTTATCAGGGAATGACTTTTATATTACATTTATACTTTGAAAGTTATCTAAGGTAAACATTAATTTGAAGCCTAGACTTATATTAGTAAATTTGTATTTGATGGTTCAATCTGTAACCAAGTTTAAGCATTTTTTTTACTCCAACTCCATGCCTTGCCATTCTCATGCTTGGAGATACAATTAGAGTTAGAGTGTGTGTTTATTTACTCTCCATTCTGTATAAATCTTAACAGCCCCTGATCGTATATTCTTATTAATTCATTAGGCTAATCCTCAAGTAAGGCTTAGACTTAGTCTAATCTGTAACACACTGACAGTCACTGTGATGCAGAGGTGGCTGTGCAGCAGCACTGTCTGTGTACTGTGTATGTTTGCTATAATTTACTTTTTTTATAGTTTACATGTATTTTGTAGGTTTCAGCTGTGACTTGTAAGCTGTTTATGCAAACACATTAAGTAACTCAAGGGAGTAAAGGAGCTAGTGAAAAATTAGGGTCATAACTGATGAAACTCAGAAGACCTATTCATCATTATAATTATTTGTGTGTAGTACACTTCAGTTCACAATTCCGTGTTGTTTTTTCTTTATATTATTTAACTTACACAAATGCGAAGTACAGAGTTGTACACACGATTATCAGAGACCATGCACATGTTGCAGGTATTATCTTCGTGGAAAGCTCACACTTTGGCATGATTATGAGCAAATTCAAGGCATAATCATCTATGCTAAAGGATGAGCCTCCTAAAATACTCTGATTCGTCGTTTTCAGACATCACTTTCCGATTTTCCGGGGTGCAAAGCCTGTGCCAAATAACAAACTTAGGACTATCTATGCGCAACAAGAAATATTTGTCAATATTTGTTTTTTTTAAAAATTACTTTAAAGAAGTTGATTTAAAATGGTTTTTTTTTTGCGATTCCACTATGTCTATGAAAACTATAATTATTATAAGTTATGAGATTCAATAAAATTTTATCATATCTTGAAAGAGGATGAATACACAATAACGAGTTGTCCTTTATGATGCGCATGCCATTCAGTATTTCCGGTTAATGTCAATCAAATATGGCTACCAAATACAGTCAACAAACATTGCATTTTATAACACAACCTGAGTAAATTTAACACCTGTGCTCAAAGAGCTTTTCATGTATTGCTAATTTTATGCTATCAATTAAAATATATTTCAATCTTTAGAATGGTACAAAGATTTCCTATATGATTAAATGCAAGGTCTCCTCTTGTTCAGTCATTATTTAATACTTTTTTTTAGTTTTACTTTTAGTCTACTTTTTTAAATTGAACTTTTAACTAACTTGCTTAACAATAATGGACAGTAATCTTCTTAGTCTTGTGACTTTCACTGTGAGTTGACTAGTATTGAGTCAGCGTCATCTCAGTAGTGCATAGTGAGGTGTGTAGTCTTGTGTGTCCTGTGTGTTAGTGTTATAAATTTATTTTAATTAGGACCTAATTTTCTTTTTTGCATTTTCATTTGTCTTATCACTTAAATCACTATCATGAGTGCGCCTGACTATGTGCCAGCTAGGTATCTCTTTTATAATTTTATATTGCTTCTGGTATGGTTGCTTCCTCTTCAAAACCAGCCCTCCCACTACTCATCATGTTGGCTAATTTCGAGAGATAGCACCCTGACGTCATTTGCATGTTGTGTCTCTGACTCTGGTTCCGATAGGGTGAAAACCCTGGTTCCGATAGGATTAAAACCCCGGTTCCGATAGGGTGAAAACCCTGGTTCAGATAGGATTAAAACCCCGGTTCCGATAAGGTCAAAACCTAGGTTAGGGATAAGTTTAGGGTTCAGGTTAGGTTTAGGGATAGATTTAGAGTTGAGGTTAGGTTTAGGGATACATTTAGGACATAAGTTCGGGGATCGTGGCAACCAAGATGGCGGCAGCGGTGCTATCTCTCCAAATTTACCATCATGTTTTATATTAATAGTACTGAATGAAAATAAAATATGTCAAGCTGCGAGCATCGTGTGTCACAGTTGAACGCAGGTAAAAGAGTTAATTTTTTTTATATTAATCAGGAAAGAGCAACGGGTGTGGTGTAGGACTGTCTGTAGACCAGACCTGTTTACTCTTACGATTTTGGCGTACAATGTACGATTTTAGGCGTATAGATTGTATATACTGTTAATTTTTTACTATAAATATAACGTATTGAACGATTTTGTGATGATATTCTACGATTTTAAGAGTTTGAGGGTAAACAGATCTGGTAGACTGTAGGTCTATTATTGTTTAAAGGCTGGCGAGTAGGGTCTAGGACTCTCTTTACTAAAGGCTTAAGGTCTATTCATCTATTACATAAAGGCCTGCATATATTTCATATATATTATATTATAGAAAATTAGAAGTAAACTTTTATATTTTTTTTTTATAACACTTGTCGCCACCTAGTATTTTTTCAAAATATCCTGACCCTGTGTAAAACTATTCCCCCTCCCGTTTAAGCCCTAGTTTGTATGATTTAAATAATCCAAGCCTTCTTCATACAGTTATATGAATTTGATCACAAAGGTCTACACCTTGTGTTTTTTTTTAATAATTGAGGCTGAGGTTTACTTCTATAACCATTTTTTATATTTTTTTGCATTAACTTAATACTGAATATTGCTTGGTTAGACAAAGTTGCAAGTTGTAGACCCCTATAAATTTTTAGCTCATTGACATCCTATCTACAACTCTTTTTTTTTTCTACCTAAGTTTTATAAATCTTATTTTTACAACCATGTTGAAGCAAGATACATTTTTCTTTTTAAAAAATGTCAATCAAACAATCAATGTATTCCATTCAAATTTATTCTAAAATTATGTCGCTGTTCATAAATACTGGTACAGAAAAAATGTAGAGAGCTTATAAGTTGATTAAGTTTTTATGGGCCATTTTGGGGTTGGTATGATTGATTATAAAAGCTAAAAATAATTGTTTTCATAAAATATAATTATCCCCTTTATTTTATTTATGTTCTAACAAGTGACAGATGTTAAGACCTAGATATAGACATATATTATGCAGAAGCCAGAAATATGACCTCATAAGCTGTCAAATTTTTTAAAAATATTTTTGCGGAAAATACATTTGACATGATTTGAAATTGAAATACATTTGGAGAAATTTAACAAGTGCTTTTGGGAAATTCATTTTTTTTTTCAAAGATTATTAGAAGTAAACTTTTATATTTTTTTATAACACTTGTTATAAATTAGAAATAAAATTTTACATCATAAGTATTAAAATCAAGCGATTCTTCAGCTAGGTTATAAAGAGAGAGACTGCAACCAGGTTAGGACAGCTAGGGGGTCTTCACCCAGGACCTCAGGGATCAGAATATAATACAAATACACAATGATACTGTAAAGAACATCTAGATCATAAAAAATATTTAACAAAAAATTTCATTTGGAGCATATTGTTATTGTTTTGCACTGAGACAGTTTTTTAAATTATTAATGAAAGAAGGATTTTCATATTTTTTTTTTTTTGGGTCTCTTTTTGTTTTTAACTGCAACTTTCTATTTTGTTTTGCTTGTGAAAATTTAAAATTAATTTTTCCTTTTATTGAAGAGAACTGTTAGTAACAGAATAAAACAAGTAAAAGAAGATGGGAAATCAGATTGTTCGCAAAAGTTCTGTATCAAGAAAAAGCACTCATGAGCAACAGCATGGCATAGAGGACATTGATGGTTCTGAAAGTGATCAACTGCATATGAGCAGGAAAAAAAGCCGGAAATACCAAACCATTGCATTGATAAAGCTTTTTGAAGTATGTTTATTTTACATAATATTAAAAATAAATTTACGAAAGCTTTGATGGGCATTTTTTAAATTTTATAGATGCAGTTTTATGCAACAATTGTAAAATTTGAGTGATTTCTACCATTAGGTCGTGGGTTTGATAAATAATGTCCGCTGGCAAAATTTCACTTATACTTATACTCGCATATCTATACAGCACCAATTATGATTTCTTATTTTTTGTATGATCCCCTCTCTAACCTACAAATGAGACCAGTGCTTTCCAGTGGGGTAAATGTTTGCCTCATTAACCATATTTACCATTTGGCCCCTTTGGGTAAATAATTTTATTAAATTGCAGTCTTTCTTATAACTTTCTTATGACATTTTAGAAACTGGAATTAACTGCAGATGGTGACAATGCACACCCAGGGGAACTAACGAAAGCTACATTTGAGGTAGGTAATGTTAAAGATAAACTCATATGGTTGGATCTAGAAGTGAGATACATGTCGTCATTAATGATTGAAATGCTAAACATAATGAGTGTTACATGTGTAGCGCTTCATGAAGTTGCAAGCTACACGGTAACTATGCATACTGCACACTTTGTCAAAAGTGAGAATATTGGGGCATCTCATAGGGTAATAGTTAATTGTTTTGTTGGTATGTAATTCACGCAATTTATTGATCTCTACATTATTGGTTTACAACATTTTTCGAATGGACCATTATAAATTAATCGATTGTGTCATAAAAATTAAAACAAGAAGAGGTGAGACGTTCCATGAAAAGCAGATGCCTCTTTACATCTCTATTGTACACTGGTCTAAGACATTTTCAGCTAGCCAGAGCAGACTCTTCAGAAAATTTTTTATGTCTCCAAAACTGCTCAATATCATCATATCACAATGTGTTTGAAAATGGAGAATTTTCCACACAATAGCCAGGCTGATGCCTTTCAAGCAGTCTCTTTGCCATATTACTCTCCATGTTCCTCCAGTTTCTTTCAAGGACTGGAACAAGAGAGTGTACATTCATATCAGTTTTACAAGAAAGCTTTTCAGCATCGCTGCCTCCATTCCAAGACTGATCTAGGGACTGCTCTTGGCTGATAATGCACCCTAACAGGACATACAGAGAACAGACTTTGTATATATGAGCTCCTAAGAGTGACCATCGCCCATAAGAATATAAACTTCTTAGTACAAAAATCAGAAAGAGATTCCTCAGGGATAAATAAATTAATGGAATCATGCCTTATATTGGGGGTAAAAATTAGATATATTTAATACAGTTAATTAGTATTTTTGTCCTAAAATTAATGAACATTATTTCAGAATGCATTTCATGGACCTTTACACAAATTTGGCAAGTTGATGTATTTACAAATGATGACAAATAGCAGTACTACAAATCGAGAGAGAATAACCCGTGAACAATTTGTCAAAGCCGGAAGAGAAATATTGAAAATGTTTGATGAGAAGGTCATTGTCAAGTATTACTACTATTTATTTGCATCCTCTAAGGACCATTTGAATAAAGAAGGTATTTAAAATTATTTATTTTCAAAGCTTAAAAGTTTTAAAATACATTTTTATTTTATATTCTATTTACAAAAAGCTGTAAATTAAGCATGACCAAAAATACGTAAGTGTAAAAAATTAATTGTTTTGGTCTGGTCTGTTAGAATTAGAATAAATTCTGCTTCAAAACTGTGAGTAAGAGTCTGTGAAAAAACATGGTCCTCACCAGCCCAATGCTGCAGTTTTAGATATTATAGAGGATATTATTTATCAATGTTTGATGACTAGCATTTATTTTTTGTTGTAGACCTTATAAGGAATTAATAATATAAATGAAATCCTTTTTTTTTTCTTTTTTTTTTTAATGTATACTTTACTGATTTACAAAAAGTGTTGACATTTTATTTTGAAGTATTTGAATGGGGAGATGAGGAAAGAAAGCTGTAAAAATTGTTTGACTTCTTGATTGGGATGGAAGACATTGGATAAACATCCATTTTGAAAAATTAAATTAAATTGTTAAAATAACCACACCACACTTTGAAAACTATAATATATTTTTAAAAAATTCCTTTTATGTCTTTAACAAAATAATGCACAGCAATTTTGACAAGCATTGGACATCAGAAAATATTAGTGCTAAATAGTCTCATTTTGGGCAAAGACAGCTTCTCAAAATTAACACCACCTTATAGTTTCAAAGTGGCTCACTTGTTTATGTAAACAATTGAAAATTTGTGGTATCTTGAACTATTCAAGAAAAATTATTTTATTAAAATATATATATTTACAGATGCAAGACAAATGTTTGAAATCTCATTTGCCCTCACATTGTCCCTGTCTAAAATTCTATACCAAGAAGATGAAAGGGATCCTCGTGTGTTCATGGCCATGGTCACTGGCTTGGTTAGTTACTCATCCTTAGTTTAACTCATTCCCTCCGGCAGTATTACTTCTGTACTTAATTTATTTTTCTGAGAAAAGGGAAGGAACTCAGTATTGAAATTGATTTACATTTTAAAAATATTTTTTAAGCTGCTAAATAATAATAAATGTTAATGAAATAAGGACGAATGCATCAAAAAATGAATAAGGTTTAACAAAAAAAATTACATTAGTGGCGAAAAAATAATGAACAATGGGCAAAAAAAATCGATTTTTGGCACCTCGGACGAACACATGCTACATATAGACGCGCTGTTCTAAAGCACACGTAGTTTAAAAGTGAAACAAGATAAAAACTTCAGGTTTTTAAATTAAAATCATGCAGAAATCACGCCATAGCCGGAAGTCTTGAGGTACGCGAGATTTCATTGCTATTTTTAACTAAAATTAAGAGAGGTGTGTCGCTATGCTCCAAGACACATTTGGGGGCATCAGGAGAAACCCTCAAAGGACGCATTTAGTCGCAACTGTCGGGAATGAGTTATGTCAGAGGTTGACACATTGTGTCCATTGTCTCCTGTCTTCCAACCCCCAGTTCATAATACCTTCGCTGAGTAACCCTTGCAACCAGTAAAGTATCACCTTCAAAACCATGCACAGCTACATCGTGAACCCCTCTACAAACATAGGAGCCAGAATGATCAATACATTGATCGTGGGCCCTCAAAATATAGAAGAAGAAGTGGTTCCCAGAGTCCAAGCACCCTTGATGCCTCCAGTTTTTCCCAAGGTGTCATATGTGAAACTGCGAATATATAAAAACAAAATTCACACTCACTGTTTAGTTAGAGCCGATGCATTTTTGAAAATACAAATGAGATGAAATATTTCAATAACTTCACTTGACTTGATCACAACGATATTTAGTTGATACAATTTTCTGAAACTAATTCAACACTAAGACCATGCGAAACTGACATCTATTTATATACCGTAGATCAAAGTACCAAATAAGTTTGAGAACTAACAAAGATAAACTCAGTTAATATAAAGCACAATAAAGTAAACATGCCAAACAGTTACACTACCGTAAGTGAGTTACTGGTTGGCGCTAAGTGGAAGTCAAGGACTGTTTAAAAAAAAAAAGAAAATTAGAAAGAAATTTGATCACAAATGTTAAAACAAACATAAACATGAAATTCTGTAAAATTCAACAAAATAACTTATAAACAAATTAATTTTGTTTTATTTCTAAATACCTTCGAGGGCTGCATAATATCAGTTGCCGGGCTGCAGCGGCCCGAGGGCTGTGGTTTACCCACCACTGGTTAATACGACCTTATCACTTAACCATTGTTGATATTCATTTTAAAATGTTAAGTTGCAGTTTAAAGTTAAAAATTGTCAGGCAGTCTTAAAATATATCCCCTGAACATGCAGTTACCTTGCAGGAGTTCAAGCCAAAAATATTCTAAATCGATGTTTAAAAAAAACCATTGATAATGAAGGGGCTAATTTTATTTTTATGGAACTAATTATTTCAGAATTTAATATATTAGATTAAAGAACCATGGTCTAGTAATCTATGCTACTTTGTAACTTCTCTTGATTATATGGTTACACAATTGTTAAATAATTTCACTTTTGGAGCATTTATTTCAATATTCATTATATATTTTTTCAATTGAAAAACCAAAATAGTTTGGAATCAACACGGAGGTCACTTATGAAGAATTCAACAAATGGGTGAATGATTACTGCCCTCACCTGTTTCATTGTGTCCACAACTGGGTATGCCAAGTCTTAACTGGGTCCTCGCTACCTGAAGAAATGGTAAGCCATCTCTATAGGTTTTCTTTAATTTATAAACAAAAGTTGATTCTATTTGATTTTCAAACCTGTAAGAATTTGTACGCATGGTATTTTCCAGAGGACATTTGACATAATAATGAGTTCTGAATTATAAGAGTTTGCAGTGTTATTATCAAAGTTTTTAAATGTATCAGGAAATGGCACGGGTTCCTCATCTTGAAGGTCTAACTGCTGGTAATAACTGCACTTCCATGGCCATTTTGTGGCTTCTATCCCTGACTCTGCCTCCAATCTACACCAAGCAACCAGATCCTTACAAACCGGATGGTGCTTCAGCATCTTCAGCCACAAAAGATCCAATGTGGACATCAATGCTGCTCTTAAGAAAAATTGTAAGTTTCTTGGCCTTTTTTTTTAATGTCTAAGGCTTTTGTATTTTTTAATTTGTAGTTAAGTTTTAAAAAATATTTTACAATAAGTTTTAAATAATGAAACAGTGTATTTGTATTAGGAGGCATTATTTGGTTGTAGCAATGAGCTATGCATTATTCCTTCATATTTTTAATGATCTATACAAATAGTTTTGTTAAAAAAGGAATAAAGATCCAGTTTTTTAAATAAACATTATTTTATTTTACATGGCACAACATGACTTTTAAAAAATCAGTTTATTTGTTGGCAATTCCCTTGGTGAGCCTGGAGTTTGAATTTATTAGATGAAACTTGCCTCTGATTTGGCATATCTGTTTATCAGGATTTATTTTTAAAATTTTTTACATTACATCCTAACAATGATATCCACTTATTTAATTTGTAGAAATCTTCATAAAATATAATAAAAAACTTTCCCGCTGATAAGGTTTATTTTATAAATTTTTAACAGGCAAGACTACCAGAAGTTCAGAGCTGGAGACTATTGTATAATTCGGACAACCATGGGATGTCAATCAATAGGTAGTTAATAATTTTGAGATTTATTAGGGTTTTAAACAATGTTTATTTTAACATATAAATATCTTATACACGCTTAATTTAGTAATTTTTCTGTTAATTTCTGTGAAATGAATGAGAAACCTTTAATTCTTACAGCCCAAATATTTTAGCTTTTTGCTTGAAAACATAAGTAATTTTATGGTGGGTAAAAGAATTAAGTTGTCCAATATTTCCCATCGATTAATGGCTAAATATACCCATCAATTCAGGTGTAAAATAGACTCTATGGTGAACTAAGATGAAGTTGCTACATTTAATTTAAAAAAAGAAGAGTATTCAATGACCAAAATTAGCATTTATAACATTTGACACAAACTCAATCTCATTCCTTTTTTAGGGCTGTGTTATTAGCCTTCATGGCCCAACTCAACACTTTTCATCTTCTGGACTGTGCCACATAACACCTGCATAATTTAGGGTCACCCACCCTTAATCTAGAATCTTAAATTTTATCTAAGAACTGCAACTGCTTTTTAATTAAACAATTTTTTAAAAACCTTCTATCGTATTAGTGCAAACCAAAAGAACCAGTGGTACTGTCTTTGTTAAGGGTTCTATCATAAGTTCCTGATGTCAGTTTATAATAATTTTCTACCATTTTTGCATTTCAAAAAAAAAAATTAAACCTGAAGAATTTACTAAGAATGTATAAACTGGGAATTATTGTAGTACCGGTAACTTGCAACTTTTATGCCATAAGTATAAAGTTTTAATTACAAACAAATCATCCAATTTTAGAGATTGTTTCTTCATTTTTAAATGTTTTGTTTTTCCAGATTTAACAACCATGTTTCTTCATATCATGCTCCCACTGTGACTTTTTTTGCCTTTGAGGGGAGAAATCTCTACTGTCTGGCTATTGACAGAGGATGGGCGTAAGAATTTTTTGTAATATGTTTGGTGAAACTCAAACTTCTGATATTCTCGTGTTGTTTTTTTGTGGTGAAACTCAAACTTCTCATATGCTCATGTATTTTTTATTGTTAAAGAAATAATCTTGGTAGAAGAAATACTATTATGTTTGGAAATATTGTAAGGCAGTCTGGATATTTACAATCCTAGTTTTCTCATTTTAGCTATAGTAGTATAATAATTGCCTTTGACAGAACATAAATGTAATAAGTCAGGAAATATGTAATGGTATTAGAATAATTTTTTGATCCATTTCTCTTACTAAAGAGAGGGACCAGCCAAATTTGGTGGTGTTGACTGTCGGTTGATACAGCTACTGCCAGTTTATCGTGTGATACAAGGTAAATTATTGTAAAACAATAATGTAAATCCACATATGAAGCTATATGTTATAAAATGTATTACCTGCAGCAGAATCTGATTGTAATATTGAATCCCTTTTACATAATTGATGATTTCATCAATCAAAGGATGTAGTTGTTATGACTTTCTTATGTTGACAGCCTTTACAAAAAGACACAAAAAAATTATTTAAGTTTCATCGTTACAGCTGGAGAAAAGATGATAAGATGGAGTGAACATGCCAGGGAGATCCCTAAAGGAATTACTGTCGGTTGTGAAGGGAAAGCACAAGTTCTACGTTTATCTGTTGAATTTGACAAAATTTACCACTATGAAGTGCCTTGTGAATTGCATAAGATTGAGGTATTTTATAAAGTGCCTTGTGAATTACATAAGATTAAGGAAATTTTATTGTTATTTGATATGATGTATATGTTGCTAATTATCTGGATCATATATTCCTATTTGCTTCATTTTTGTCTCTTCTTCAGTTTTTAAACAGATCTATTTGCTTTTATTTACTTGGCAATGGCTTTTTTTTGTCCACCTGGTTCTGTGCTGCCTTTTTTTTTTTTTTAAATGAAGCAAAAAAAATATTATTACAGTTACATTTGGCAAATTTTTTAAGTGTAGAAGTCAGTAAATTAGGAGAGATTTTTTTTTTTTTCTTTTTGTTTTTGTTTTTTTTTTTTTTTTTTTTTTAAATGAAGCAAAAAAAATATTATTAAAGTTACATTTGGCAAATTTTTTAAGTGTAGAAGTCAGTAAATTAGGAGAGATGTGGATTGAAAATGTTAAGAAATAACTTGGCTAATTCATCATTAAAATTCCTAAAGTTGTTACCTAACAATAATTTTCATAAAGCAAAATGTGTTTCTGAGTCATTTATTATTTTTTTTAAAATCTTTATTTTGTTTATAAGTTGTTGATAATAACAAATTTAACATCACATTTTCTATTTATACAATATATTTTTTCTCCTTCCACGCTTTATTCTATTGTAATATGTGGTATCAAGAGTTCATCATGAAAAAAATATTTTTTTATAACTTATTTAACACATGTATAACACTTATTCTACCTGCATAGGTCTGGGGATGTGGTACAGAAACTGCTCTTAAAGCCCAGGAGAACCAAAGAAAATGGGAAGCCTCTGCTATCAGAAAAGAGCAGTCAAGAAAGGTATGAACATCATATATGTGATGAAGTAACATCTGTAAGATAGTCCTAATAAACATAAGAATGTGGGCAAACAGAATCTGATTTTAGAAATGTATGTATTTATTCTGATCTTTTCTTTTGGGAGCTATGCCCATTCTTATTCTTTTCTTTCCTTTTTAGGCATAAGTAGGATATAATTATAAATATATTATGTCAATTTAATTTGTAATTAAATTCATGTTTTTTGTTGTAGGTACCTATGAAGGCATGTGCTAAAATGTTTGAATTTGTGTTTTGACTAATCCTAATTAAAGATTAACAAAAATTGTTTGCATCATCATTATTCTGGTATTTTAGCTTTATTCACTTGAAGATCATTTAAATTTTTATTGGCCCCACAGCAAAGTTAGAACTTGTAGACGCTATATCTAAATTGTATCAGAAGTGATATGCCACCTCAGAAATTGACAGTGACGATGATAATACTAAGTTTCATTAAATGTGGCATAATTATAAAATATTAAACGTAACTTACTATTAAATAAATTTATGTAAACATCTCTATCAATTTCAGTTGAGACCACAAGCCTATGGTGAATCGTGGGATGACAGTCCTGATAAACAGATATTGCAATGGGGAGGAGTTGATGTTGGAAATCACTCTTACAATCGATAGTAGTAAAAGGCAATAGAAATAATAAATGTTTTAATTTAAAAAAAACAAATTATCTTTTCTATAATGATTGATATTTATGGCTATTATTTATTTTAAGAAAAATTAAAATAGATTTTTTTTTTTTTAAATGATACCATCCACCCATTCCTGTGGCACTACAGCCCATGGAGGGCTTTGGCCTGCCTCACTACTTCCTTCCACTCATACCTAACTAATGATTTTCTTTGATTATAGTTTGATCTTTCTTAATTACCAAGTGTACAAAGAAAAAAACACAAATTGTGCTGATTTATTACATTGCCAAGTTGAAGTCAATTCTGTTAATTTCAAAATAGGTATTTAAAATGATATTGAATGATTGCATTGGAAGTTCTGAAGTGAGAGTCATTAAAATGTTTAAGACCATTCTTTGTTTACATATAATTGTTCCCCTTTGTCTCCTTTTTAAATAAACTGAAGTGCTAACCTAGAATTTTTTATAAATTTACATAATACATTTTAATTTTACAGTAACTTTTTGCCATGACCAAATAATAATTATTTTGCTGTTACAATGTTATAGTTAAACCAACATAATTTTGTTGCCTCTGCCGATTTATCATGCTATAGAATAAATTATGAGAGATGCAGTGGTACTATGACACTCCACCTGATTCTTTACTTTAGAACTTTTCTTATGTTATGCTACGCCAATATGTTTAAAAAAATTAAAATCACTGAAGTAACTGAGTAATAATAAAATAATAAAAAAGAGCAATGGTGATAAATATTAAGAAATACTGGATAATTTTGTACATAGTACTTAAGTCCCAGATTTTGTTTCTGCAATTATGCAATGACATTTTAATGCTTTTCCTGTTTTGCTAATGTCAGGATCCTGTATTGCAACCTAAACCACATCCCTTTTTCATCCACCTTTTCTCATTCCCTGGCTAATTTTATTTTGTATATAAATTCTTTTAGCCATACATGAACTCAATAGCATCTTATATTGTTTGTTGTATCTCAGGTGATTTAACCCTACAATTGTCATAATGGCCGATAATCGGCTGTTTACCCTTTTCTGCTAGCAAAAATGCAAATGTTTTGATGTAAATTGGTTATGTTGAAGTCACTGTATACTCTATGAGTTTGCTTCTTATTTCTGTTTCTATCTGTGTGTTAACCTGCTTTTATCGGGGCTTGTTTTGTGATTAATCGGGTGGGAAATTTGCTAACTTTTTTTACTGCCATTATGTCTGATGCTGGAGAGGGTCCCCATCTAGAATGCAAAATCAAATTAGACTTTCTTTATTGGAATTATTTCAAATTGATCAAAATGAAAACAAAGATTTCTGAGATATCCCACACACTAGCAATAACAGTATGAGCTCTAGCAGTGATGGTGACAAAGAGGCAGATATTTACATTTATAGCCCTAAGTTTATTTGTATTGTTACAGAAAAATTTGTTTGGGAAAGGGTGGAAATCAAACAGAAAGAGCAAATACATACCATAAACAGATTCAAAGACATTCATGTTGGTATACGTTCTAGAGTACTGTATTAATTAATAAAAATGGATTTGAATAATTTCAATTGAAAAGGAATATGTGAACTTATGTCATGCTTTCGCCATTGTTTCGACAGAAATTTGAAGGTTCTGAGTGAAATTCACCAAATTACGTTTTTCAAAATAAGTAGCTATAACTTGAAACGATCTTTCTTTTAGTATCTAAAGAAACCTCATGTATTGATAGATTGAACAAAATAGTGAGTCGGGTGTGTGTTGAATGCAGAAATTGAGTAGTAAAATTTTACTAACTCTGTCCATGTCAATATCAGCATACAAAAATATAAAGCTATAAATTCTTTTCATACCACAATAAACATTGTTCAATATACTTTCAGAAAATGTATGCTTCTAGGCATCTCTGAATTCATTTAGTATGGGATTTTGTCATTTTTGACAAGCATATGAAAACAGACCTGTATGCTCTTACGATTTTGGCGTACAATGTACGATTTTGAGGTGTATACATTATATATACTGTATGTTTATTTTTTTTACTAATAAGATAATGTATTGAACGATTTCGTGATGATATAGTACGATTTTAAGAGTTTGAGGGTAAACGGGTCTGTGAATGTGCTAAAAATGTATCCAAGAAAAATCCACTTAAATAGAGTTAAAGAAAAATGATGCTTTGTCACATTTTTTATTATTTTTTTTTAGTCTTTTATGTAAGTTTTCTTTTTTATTACGGTAACTTCTAATAAACAAACTGTTAACTGATAAATGAGCTGTTAACTCTCAGTAACTTCTGTATAATTTTTAATGAATTTTGGACACCAGTTTTTACCTTATCTAGAATTTAATTAAATTTTGGATAGGAAAAGTTTGAAAAATTGCCCTAGAGGCCTATTAAAACAAATTTGTGGAGGACATTCATATTTTTTGTAGTTCTTTGAAAAGGTAAAACCAATACTGATGTGTCAACTCTGCTAAATAAATCAATGAGTATTCCTCTTCATGCATTCATTTATACAACAATACATGTTCATATCAACAATGAATTTTCTTTATAAACATAGAAATATTTAAAGACTGAGATAATTTTAACAATCAGATATTTTAGAAAACACATTTTTCCATATTTGTCAAATGGGATGATCTTGTATATTTCAAATGAAGCCAGTGGGTGTTAAACCTTAATAGCCTTAATATGGTACGTCATATGATTTACAGTGTTAAGAGTTGTCTTTTTTGACAGTTTTTAGGCAAGCTGAGACATCTCTTGAATGCTCTGTGATATTTGTAATTATTGTTGTAACCTACGTTTATTAATGAACAGTCTTCTTTCAAATTTTTAAATTGTATTCAATGATCTGATTTTAATCTAACCTTGTAACGGAACTGTATATTCTACAGGTTTTTTTCTTGCTCAAATTAAATTTTTCCAAACAATATATGAAATACAGTGATATTTTGCTTCAATTCAACTTTTTGACCATTATTTATTTATTCATTGACTTCAATGTAGCTACATTATACATGTATTTAATTTTGAATGCAAGGAAATATTATTCCAATAGTTAAATGGAACTTATTAAAACCATGTGATCTTTCATAATTTCCTGGAAGCTATCATCAGCATGAGAGTATGCTTCTGATGTAATATATTTTCTTTCAAATTCACTACTAGTGCTTAATCTATTTTAGTCAAACTATTGTCCCTCAACTATAAAATTAAGATTATAAACAAAATTAATGGAGAAACATCTATAACTTCCTGGTATGGTAGCTAACTCGGGTAGTTGAATTTTTTTTTTTTATTTCGCCACCAATTATTATCATACTTATGCAAACATGGCTTCTCAGGCCTTCAATATTTCAAGTATCTCAGGATGTTTGACTTCTATTTTTATTATTTTTTTACAGAATTAAAGACAACCCTTTTTGCCAGTGCTATGCGTTCAGATTAACTTAGAAATAATGCCAATGTTTTAAATTTCAAGTAAAAAAAAAAAGCGAGACGGTTTCTGATTTTGAAATTTTTCAAAAGATTCTTAAGTATGGGGTACACGTATGACATGCACCTTCTAATTTTCAATTTGGTAAAAACAAGCTTATCATGGCAATTAAAATTTATTGGTTTTAATATTATGTGCCCAAAGCAAGCACTAATTGATGCTTTACACTGTAGCTTCCTCACCATTAAATTCTCCCTCTAATTTTCTTGTCCTTTTTTATTTTTCTGATGTAAGAGCAAGGGTTGTGAACTATCCATCAATGTCACATATCTATATTATGTAAATGTAATTTAGATAAATACTATTACTTTTGTATTTTCATATTTTTTAATATGTTAATATATAATTTTTTGATTTTGATGTTAATTTAATTTGCATAATTGTGAAAATATGTCTCCTCTAGCTCTATCAAGGTTTTATGTACCGGTACATAGTATGTTTTTGTACCTTACAGTTTTTATGTTGGTTACATAACCTATACCACATTGCAGCCATATGGTTTAACTGTAATCTGAAAATATGTTAAATTTATTCATCTTTACTGACATTTCATCAGCATTATTATAGGTAGGTACTGGTAATTAAATGCAGTAATCACCATTACCATTTTCTAAGGTTTGTTCTTTAATAAACACCTGAAGACATTGAAATAGCATCATAGCAAATTATTTGGAGTGCAATTGCTATTACTATTACTGAGGTAAATGCTCATCTTGTGTTTCAAAAATGTAATTGTCTTAATAATATATTATAAATTATAAATATTTTTTCGGTTTGGCAAAGTACAGGTACCTCAAAAGTAGAGCAAAAAGTAAAATTATTGACATAAAAAAAATATATATAATTTACTGCTAGTTGCAAACTATTCTTCTGATTCCAATGTATAACCTCTACAGTGATAAAACATAAACCAAATATGAAACAGTTATGAAATTGAATCACATAAGAAATTTTATAATTTTAAAAAACTATTACAAAGTATCAAGTAGTGAAATATAATGTGGAGATGTGTTAAATATAAACAAATGCTTTTTTTTTTTTTAATGTGTTCTTTTATAATCTAAATATAGTTTTCAAAAGTTCTTTGTAAGCAGTTTTAATTGATTTGTGTTTTTGTGTTCTTTTTTTAAAAAACTACATTGGTCAGCCTAAAGGCTGTTAATTTACAAACAGCAGGAATGTTGTCAATTTATATACATTTTTTTGATGAGGCTTTTTTTTTTACAAAGCGATTATTTCATTAAAATTCAATTTATTAAAGATCTTTTGAAACATTAGCTCTTTTATTATGGGTTTTTATTGAGTTTAAAAAATGGCATCATGTCTTGGAAATAGGTTGTCACCTGTAGAAGTTTACTATCATGTTTTCTCTAGTTTTCCTCTTACTACTACTTTTTTAAAATTTTATATTATTTTTTTTTTACTTTTGTACCTCGCTTCGAGCCTTTGGGGATGAAGCGTGTTTTTGAAATAAACTTTATTATTATTACTAACAGGGTTTGTCAATTCTAAGTCTATAACTGGAAAACATCACATTACGTAATGTTACAATTTTTAGACAATGTATTCGTAAACAATGGCTGTTCACAATGCATTTCAGCATATAAATTGCAGTAACAATTTGCTTGTTAAATCTTTCATAAAATAAAGTTTTAAACAAGTTTTTGTCTAGTTAAGTCCCACTCCACTCACTCAAATTAACATAGAAGTACAGAATAGCTGTTAAGAGATTGGCCAAATGGTATACCTGGATGTTTTATTAAAATCATTTCGCCATTTAATGAATTTGTCCAAACTGGATGCCCAGAATGAAATATATTTCCCCCATTAAATGACAAACCCAGACCTGTTTACTCTTACGATTTTGGCATACAATGTACGATTTTGAGGCCTATATATTATATACACTGTATGTTTTTTTTCACTATTCAGATACCGTAATGTCTATTGAATGATTTTGTGAGGATATTGTACGATTTTAAGAGTTGGAGGGTAAACAGGTCTGCAAACCCTATGAGATCTGGTCTATACAAGATCCACATTGCATTCTTTATGTAACTTGTTTGTAACAGAGATGCTACCTAATATCTAAATTGTTCCTTCATACTTTTTGAAAAAATAAATCCACTCTAAAAATCAGAAAAAAATCAAAATGACTATTGTTATTATTAGATTTACAGGTACTTAATATTATAAATTATAATATGCCCATTTTTAACATTCAAAATATATTTTTTATCTCCAATCTCCAAGTACTCCAACTATTTATCTTTCCACCATTTTTGATTTTCAATTTTTTAAAATACGGTACCGGGTAACCTTATATTTGTAACTTACTAAACAAAAAGTGAAGTGCATTTTATCATTTTAAAACATGAACATTTCAATCAGAGTTCATGCCAACCATGGTGCTAGTCTTTCTTATGTCTTAAGTTAACAACCCTTCAGTGTGACAAGAAATTGGTTTTCATTAACATTGTAACAGCAATTTTACTATGGTACAATTATATTTTGTTAATATTCTCTTCATGACTTGCATTTATATTAATTAATATTATATCAAGTTTTAGACCAAAAGAGTGAAATGATTGATGTTTGACCCCTGCTACTAGTGGTAAATTGAGTTTCTGTTTACAGTGACAGTTATGTATTTTCTTTAGTGTACAAAATTATGTTGATATTTACAAACCCTTTATGACTTTGGGAGAGGATGTACACAGATCTATTTTAACTTTTATTCTCTAGATAATTTCAAAAATTGATCTCATTCTATGGGTAACTGGATACGAAATGTGTGAGTTCAAAAAACAATCTTCCATGTGTTAAAAATTGCTACCGGTACTTTGGTCAACCATGACAACTTAAAATTATTATTAATTTGTGTATGAAGGGCAGACTGACAGAAAACCTTTTGAAACTACAAAAGATAAATCTTGTTGCAAAGAGTCATACATATTTTTGAAAGAGTGGATGCTGTTTTAATCTAGTTTTAAAATATGTAAAAAAAATTATTGTGAGAAACACCAAGAGGTTTCCTGAGTCTTCCTGTGGTCACATGTCACCAAAAATGTATGTTGCAATAAATGCTGTTAAAATTTTAAATAACTGTTTTTTTTTATATTACCCCATCTCCTATGGAAAGCATATGTGCAGCTTTAACCCCCTTTTTCTGGAGCATTCTCATGAACAAAGGTTTGGCTGTGGTATTTTATAAACTTAACACACCTCTATCCACCCCTAGCTGGGTTACTGGAGGAATAGTGATAGATGTTTCCGGGAAGTTGGATATCATTTTCCCAAAAAGCATATAATCGGATATAGCCGCCATGAATAGATAAATTTTCGTAGAGCTAGAAATATAATGGTTAAACTATTTTAACACTACTTTAATATTTAGAAATAGTTGCATTAATTTATTTTTAATTATGTTCAATTTTCCAAAGCAAAATGCAAGTGGTCGCAGTTCCAAGGCTTCGAATTTTAAATAGGCACTGGTATTGGTAAGGAGTTCATGTCACTCTAATAATAGAATGTGATATTCATTTTATATAAAGAAATGTTGGCACCAATTTTATTTTCATTTAAGTTGTAAATACTTGTAATTGAAATTAAAAAATGTTAATATAACCAGGATACTTCTTGTAATTTTGCTCTTTTTTTTTTATTGACATTGTAATTTTTTATTTATCTCAACACTTTTTGCAAAAGATTTTTTCCCCCATGATATGAAAAATATTTTGGCTATTATTAATAACTGATTGTACTTTGTATACCACTATTTTTTTAAACAGTTGTTTTTAATTTTGACTACCGGCATGCAAAATCCAAGACTTATTATCTACTATAAAATTAAAATTTATTTGTTTCTCAAAATTATTTTTTCAATCTATGGGAAAAAGCTTCCATTGAATTTGTATGTATTACAAAATATTTAGTACCATAGGGTCTGTATTCACTTAGGGGGAAAACACAAGGATTTCATCTGTGAAAGTCAATAAAGTCTTTATTTATGTTTCTTAAATGTAATATTGCCATTGGAAATGTAAGAATTCCCAGTACTAATATTAAAATACAGACACACAAAGTGACAAAGCTGCCAACTTAAAATAGTGATACATTTTTAACATTTCAGTTTATAAAGCCCTGACAAATACCGGTAGTTAAATGAAGGCCTACATCATGGTTTTCTACATACATGTGTAAAGAAATAAGAAATGACTTGTTGATGATTAAATGATCTTCATTTTTATTTGATTTTGGGGGACTTTCTCTAAGTGTTTAACTGTTTCAGGTACAGAAATTGATTAATTTTTTTCCCCTCTGGCTGCAGATTTAAAATATAAAAATTTAAGCTGCTTGAAAATTAATTTTGTAGCATGAAAATTAATTTAAAAATTATTCTCAATTTACCAAAATATGTATATTTACTGCACAATCGAGATATCCATTACACCATCCCTGTAACATTAAATGATGAATGGTAGCAGTTTTTGTTTTAGCAGTCTTACACTAATAATATGATATCATCATCTTTTGATAGAATTTTTAAATGAAGAATTAATTTGCCTTTGATTTTTTTTTAAATTATGAAATGCCTTTAACAATGTTTCACCCCCCTTTAATAAATTGCCAAGATCTGCTTTCTCAGTTCTCTGTCTTTAAGTTTAAGAACAAGCCTTATAATTATAATGTTTTAAATTGAACATTCCTCTCAAGTTACAACTTATTAGAAAGAAATTGATTTTTTAAAATTTTTACTTCAATATTTTTAGGATTTTAAAATATTTGCAATCCAGCATTCCATTATGAAATTAAAAACAACTATTCTCACACTTTCTTGTATTATATTACTTATTTTTTTAAATCATGACTATGTATCTAAATTTTGTCAACAGACTAAGATATATCCTATTAACTTTTAAATGTCTCTTTTTAAAAAAATTTAGGTCTTTCTTTTTTAAATTGCTGTGAGCTATGTCAAAAAATAAAAATGAATGGTAAATAAAAGGATTCAATGATAATCACCCAAAGTCTTCCATTTCTGGAAACCTTAAATTTTTTCAAATTATGCATTAATATTGGCACAGTTATATACAACTATCACTTCCAACTCTAAGCGCATTGAGCATGGGTACTTCTAGTTGTATATATCCAAGAACTGTGAACCTAAGGCCAAAGAAAAATGCAGGCTTATCTTGTTTAAACTTGATTTCCATCTCCTTGAAAATAGTTCCCATGGCAACTTATACATTTATTCCAACCATCAAAAGCGCAAATGTATACCATAAGGTCTATAATTATTTAGAGATTGTGAAAGTGGCGCCCATATATTTCTAAAATGCAAATGTAAACCCAACTAAAATCATTCTTTCAACTTTCAAGGCCTTGAGGCTCACTTAAAGCCAAGTGTAACTTTAGTTACGGTACAAAACAAATGAAAACATGCATATCTTTCACTTTCCTTCATAAAAAGATTTGATGTTCTAATTAATTTTAAATGATTTTATTTTAAATGATTTTATTTTAAATGATTTTATTTTAACTCCAAGGGTGAAGAATATTAATCAGATAATTTTAGACAGCTTTCCAATACCAGTACTCCATCCAATGAAAGAACTTGCATTTGCATACAAAAATTCACCTGGTCTCAATTACATTTTTTTTTTTAAAATTTGAATTTTCTATTGCATTAATTATAATTATTAGTTGGCTTCTGCTGTTAGTAATCTCCAGGGAAATAATTTATTCACATCTTTTAAATGTAATTTTGATTAATCAGTTGCTAGGAACATTTTCTTAACAGTCAAAACGGAAGGAGTTTTGAGTTTCAGCAAACAAATTTGATAGTTTTATTTTCCTCATCTGATCAAGTACCGACAGCCATACCTTGAAATGTCAGAGCAATCTTTAATAATTTTAACCCATCCTCCTCATGCCTACCACCAGTGCAAAACTCCTTTGATAATTCTCTGAAGGTCATGGCAACTCTTTTTCCTGTGATGTCCTCTTCGTGAATACTATGTTTCCATTTATATCTTGCTTCAGAAGAAACAATAATCAAGGATCGCCTCAGAAGTGGAACATGTATTTCTAAATGGGCGTCTGTGTCCAAAGTAAAGGTCAAGATAGTTTCTGAAAGCAGGTTTAGAGTTACGAGACGTTCACCCCATAGCCATGCATCATCCAAGTGTGGATCTATGTGAGCCCCCCTCTCACTACAATATTCTAAATTACAAAGTTCTATAGGCTCAAAGTTCCTCAAACATGGATTGGCTTTCATTCGCTTGTAAAGAAATTGGCTGTATGCTGGCAGGCCACTGAAGCTAGATAATTTTATCTTTTGCTTCTTGAAGTTCACTTTTGGTCCAAAATCCTTCGAGGAAAAAAAATTACATTTGTAGGCAAATTCAAACTCTAAAAATGAAAATTAAATTGTTTATCATATCACTACAGCTACGATAATATGAGAAAGCCAACATAGAAATCAACGAATGGGAAATCAAGCTAGCGAACAACAGTGAATGAGGAAGTCAAACAGACAGAAGATGCTCGAAACAAAGCCCTTGCAACAGAGTGAGAATTATAGAAGGCCAAATTTAACCAGGAGTCAAGGTTCAACTCTGCCAGGTTTTTTGATAATGTGCAATCAGAAAATATCAAAGTATTACATTTATTTTTGTAAAGGGATTGCATACTTTTTTTTTTTTTTAAATTACAAAAACCATTAAAGTTTTGATATCATAACTCACAAGTGTCAAACTCATCGGGCACGGCATACAATTATATCAGACCCGAGAGAGAATTTTAGGCAAAAATATTTTTAATGGCCCTGCGATATAAAGTGCAAATCAAATTCCCTAATTAGCAACCTTCCTGAACGATATGCTACCCGAGAGTGTTCTCACTTCGATAATGGGTATGCCAATGATTTTCTTATTATTAAAATTTTGTTTCTGTTTTAATTTAAATTAATGTTTAGTTTAACAAATGTTAATTTTCAGCTTATTGGATGTTTATCCTGTTTCGCCCGTAAACTTACGTGTGATTTGAGTTTTGGCCCGCTGAGCAATTGAGTTTGACACCCCTGTCATAACTGATCTAAAGGAACTTATAACTTATGATGAAATTATAACTTATTTTCATTTTTGTGATAAAGGAAAAAAAAAGGGGGGGGGGGTTAAATTTGAAGATAATTTATTTAAGACTGATTTCAGCAAGAGTGGCCTTCTTATTCCTCTTTTCCAAAAAAAATTAATATAATGTTATGTTTGGTTTTAGTACTGATAATAATAATAATAATAAGAGGTCTTATATAGCGCGGTACTCCAGCCTAGGGCTTGGCTCACCGCGCTGTACATAAAAATTTTATCAAAAGAGACATTAATCATGACATTAAAATAAAATACATTTATGAAATAAAGTACAGCAATGTATATTCACCCACCCCACCACATAACTTTTACAAGGCAAACCATGGACGGCAGCCAGTAAGATCATTTATCAGAGGAGGGGAATCAGTCAGGGTAGTATAATTTAAAAAGATATGTTTTGAGTGCAGTTTTGAAGGCCTGGGTGGTTGGTATATTGCATATGTGTAGTGGCAAAGAATTCCATTGTTTGGGGGCGCAGAAAGAGAAAGATCATTCACCATGTTTTAGTGTGTGTCTTGGGAACGGACAGAATACGCATGTTTCATTATGGTAACTTTTCTAGCTTTTAGTGATTTTTTTAATGCCAGAGTTTAGCAAATAGTTATGAAATTACGTTTTAATTTTAAAAAACATATGCATATACCTGTTTTCTTCTTCCTGACTGTGAGTTGACAAAATTAGTGTCATTTATTGAGGTCACCAAGAATGCTTCCTCCTCTTCAGATACAAAGTTCTCTATTATTGAAATTCCTTGAAGATGAATGGCACCTACTGAATCATTATGCATGCATTGGCTTTCATGGTCTGACATCTTTACTTTAGATGTTATAGGGTAGCTGATATTTGACATTTTGTTTTCAATTATTTTTTGGTCATTCGTATGCACTTTTAGCTGTTCTGCATCAGTTTTGGGTAAAGTAATGACTGTTCCAAAAGCAGGCTGAGCAAAATCTGTTGGCTTCCAAGCTTTTTTACACATGTCACAGTACAAAAATATGTCCTTCCTCGACTGAAATTACAAAAACATGCTTGGGGAAAAAAATGTATTTAAAATTATCTTAATTATTAACTTCTAGTGTTAAACTAGTTTCTACATTGAGAGCTTTTAAATACATAGTTTTTTAAAAATTTAGATATACGTTTATATACACTCAAATGCACTGGTTTACTTGAGTTTTGTCTTAATTTTTTAAAGTATTATTATTACCGGCACATTGAAACATTTGAAAGAACATTTTAGACCATGACTTATACTTATTATTGTAATTAATTGTAAACTTTTATTATTTTTTTAAAATAATAGTAATTTGTACTTTACATAATTATTAACATCACTTCATATATTTAATACTATATGATGAAAAAATCAACAGTGAAAGATATCATCATATATACTTTTTACCGATTTCACCAATCTGATAGTGCAAGATTTCATCGATTTCACCAATTTGACATTATGTATTGAAATAAAATATTACCAATTTTATCTACAATACCTGCAAGTAAAAATTCTCATACCCTCTTCACCCTTTAGCCTTAGACTCATTTCCTCTCACACCCACTCATCATTTACACCTCTGCACCTCAGCCTCAACCTCTACATTTTCTGGGCACTCACCTTCCAAATTTCCTCAAACTCTTTATCCTCTCCCTCCACATTATTATTATCCCCAACGGCTTCCCCTTAACAGTTCTCATGTCCTCATCTCAGAAAAACTGGTTTTTCTCACTCACATGTCCATTGCCTTCCCCACTCCCTTGCACCTCCCTTTCACATCGATCTCTTCACCATTTACTTTCCTATACCATCCTAAAACTTATTTCTATTTGAATTTGTTTTTCCAGTAAAACAACAAAAAGTATGTAAATTACTAAAATAGTATGACAATCTACCACTTGAGAGTCGGCCAAGAAAAAGTCCAGTTGTTCTGGTTGGAAGGGCTATTTTAATAATTTATTATTATTGCCCGTCCGTCGAGGATCGACGAGGACCATCGAGTTGTCCGGTGACTGATGACTTGCGCGGGTGACTTTTGTTTAAAGTGAGGAAGAGTTGCGCGGTGTCAACCTCACTCTCTCGTCTGGGCCCACCATATCCAGTGGCAAGACTCTAGTCTACGTCAAGACGACCAGGGATGGGTGCGGTTGAAGGAAATTTTAACAATGGTGTCCGTGAATGGTTTCGCTCCCGTATAAAGTTATTTAGCACAATACATTTAAATAATTACTAAGCTACCAATATGGCAGGAAGAAGAAGAGGAGAGACTACAATAGTGCAGATGCATGAAGTGTTTGAAACAGATCAGATATGAAATGAAGAAAAATGGCGGCTGTCCACACTACTCCAGAATTCGTCAGACCCTAAATGCCCTAATTCAGCACTTGGGTGGAATTTTGTTGATCGAGATTACGCTGATGTCCACAGACAGAATGTTGAAAACATGTGGATGCGCGTAAAGCGCTAATTGAAATGACAGTTTGGCACAACCAGCAAACTTTTCTCTTCATATTTACATGAATTCATGTTCCGCAACCGTTTTTGTGGAAAATATATTTTTTAAAAAGTAATTGTCACCTTGGGGGAGAACTATGCATATTTCCATTTTCAAATTGTTTAAATTCTTCTTTTTAAAACAAAAATTAAATTGTTTTAGTTTTTCTATTTTTAAAAATTGTCTTGTTTTATTTGTATTAATTCTATATGTGCTGGAATGAATATGTACAATCGGCCGTTGCAATGTCATAAAAAATAATATAAGAATAATTGTTTAAATAGACCTTTCAACTGGAGCAACTGGATTTTTTCTTGACGAGGCTCAAGTGGTAGATTACCAATGCCAATAGTATAATAAAATACATAATTTTAGTTTTGAAAGCCACTCTAACAAACTTAAAACTAAAACCTCTTCCCCTCCTTATTTTTACCCAGGGGCAGCCAATGTTGTCAATTATCCATTGGCATTACTCATACAGACAGTAGCCTCAACAGACAATACTGACAATGACAATAGGTTTAGCATTATTAGTTACCTAACATAATAATTTAAAATAAAAAAGATAATTTTGACAAGTTATATTGGGTATGAATCTGATTCTAATGAATTGGCATTGAACTTGGACCATTCGGTAATCTACCACTTGAGCGTCGGCCAAGAAAAAATTCAGCTGTTCCGGTTGGAAGGGCTATTTAAACAACTATTCTTATATTATTTTTAATGACATTGGTTGTACGTATTCATTCCCATTATAATAGACAATTTTTTTTAAATAGAAAAACTATAACAATTTTTTTGAAATAGAACATAATGTGTGAAAATGGAATGATGCATAGTTATCCCCCAAGTTGACAATGAAGTTTAAAAAAATATAATTTCCACGAAAACGGTTGTGGTACATGAATCCACTTAAATATGAAGGGGAAAGATCACAGGCGCTTCTTGTGACTTGTGCCAAACTGTCTTTTCAGTTTATGCTTTCTGAGCATTCAAGTTTTCCACATTCTGTGTGTGGACATCCGCGTCATCTGCATAAAAAAAAAATAATTGTTGTCTCTCTTTCTTTCTGGCATATCGGTAGCTTGGCAGTAATAGTAATAAGTATTTAAATGTATTAGTATTGTGCTACATAACTTTATAGCCTCTATACGGAAGCAAAACTATTAACAGACTCCAATGTAAGAATAGTTGTATAGTCTGTACAGTAAGTATAGCCCTTCCAACCGGAAAAACTGGATTTTTTCTTGGCCGACGCTCAAGTGGTAGATTACGACCATTCATGACAGACGCTCAAGTGGTAGATTACGACCATTCATGACAGACATCTTCATTATGAATATGATGCCGATGCATATATAATATAATATAATGTAGGCTACGTCACGTAATACTAATACAAGTTATTTACAAGTTACGCCTCTGCAAACCTTTTCATTATTATCCTGGCAGTCAAGTCCATAAAGTGGTGTTTGAATGATATTTTGCTTTGACTTGGAGTATCCACACAGGCGGCATGTCCTAATTCCTTTACATCCACAGTGTCTAGGTTCACTCAAACTGAAACTACCTGGTAGTCTACCACTATTACTAGTATTAATATTAGCATTATTGACATCACTGGAATTTAAAGTGGAATGATCTCCCATTTTAATTTTAACTATGTGGGCCGCAGCCTATGTGGATCACATAGCATACTGAACGCAAAGTATTTAAAAAAAGGGCTACCACACCTTGGGAAATTTCCCAAGATCTTGGGAATTCACGACCCCCCTTGGGATCTGGGGAATAATTTTGAAAATCAGGCAAAATCTTGGGAAATCTTAACTGGGGGGGAAATTTTATTACATTTTTGAAAAAACTCAACAATATGTGATACAAAATATAGTGAAAATAAAGCAAAATAATTTTTAAAGTAACAAGGCTACAGATTAATTGTTTTATTTTTTTTCTCTGGTTTTAATTTTTAAATCCACTCATCAAATAAATAAAAACTCTTCTGATATTAAAGTTAATATTATTGTGAATTGTTAAAAAGTTAATAATTAAAGAAAAATTCAATTTTCTCTTCTTTTTTAAAAAAAAAATTAAGATTTACAAATTACATACAGGTTTTGAATTTTTATTAAATGGGGAGAGGGGTAGGCTCGGAAACTTTATCATTAGGCTATTAGACATTAGTAACCATACGAAAAACAGTACAAGCCGAAGAGTGAACAATAGTCTTCAATCAAGACTCCATGATGCCATAGTAAAATTTGATTATTTCAATTACTTCTACAATGTGTTCAAAATGTAATGCATCTATAAAAAATCCAGTCTAATTTTCATCAATTGGAAAAAAAATATTTGTGGATTGAAACACAGGTAACTAAGTACTAAGATATTAAAAGTATGGGCCTACGTTGTAGGATTATAAATGAACAATACCTTTAAAGGTATTTTTTTTTTGTTGTTGAAAAAATCGTTATAATGTAAATTTACAAGAAAAAAAATACTTATTGTTTTCATAATAATATCAATCCATTTTAACTACAATTATTATTAATAAATTTTGCTTCATTGCTTTGCAAACCCCACTTCTAATCGACAGACTTACAATAAGAAAAATCATTTTTTGATGAAGAACCCTTTGCCCTTGTAAAAGGAATTCTGTGTTGATTATAAGCTTTGTTTCCAAGTGACTTCTATTACACATGTATTGTAGATGATATTTTTACCAGAGAATTCGGAGGTAATATTTAGTAGCCTAACTCCAGTGGGTCTTGATATTTTGGATTATAAATTATTTTAAAAAAACAACAAATTGTTTCTTTTATGTGATAAACATTTTTTTAATGTCTTTTTCAATAAATTTCAGTCCATTAATGTACCATGTTTTCAGGGTCATTAATTTAATCTGTTATTACATTAATGACATAGAAAAAACCCTTTAAAAAAAAAAACTCTTATATATTTATATGATCTTGGGAAATCTTGGGAAATTTGTTCAGCAAATCTTGGGAAATTTAAAAAAAGTGAGTGGCAGCCCTGTTTAAAAACACACACAAAAAAAACAAAAAAAACAAAACAAATCTGTTATTCAGGAAACTTGTAACAAAGGTAGCACATTTTAAGGGGAAAAAACACTTTTGATTCAATTATAATTTATGAAACGTGCCCTATTATTTTCTTTGCGCTCTTAATCTAAGTTAGAAAAAAAAGCATATGATTCTGAATTGATGCCTAATTTTTAGTCATAATCATAATCATGCTTTTACTTTGAACTATAATTTGAAAACAGATTGCACATGTTTAATACTTGACTAACTATTATTAAAATTGAATAACTTTATAGGTATGTAAATGTATTTTAATATAGTGTCATTAAACTCTTTAAACTTGTGAAGTTGCAACAAATAAATAAATAAAAATAACGATATATTCAAACAGCAGGAAGTAAGACTGGAGCGGTCAGTTGTGATTTTTATAACCTAATATTATAATATAATACTATATTCTATATCTTGATTAGCCTTAACTTAAATATACGGATCATTAAATATATCGAGCCTAGTGATGTTTCATAGAGTCCACTAATTGTAATCGGTTAAGGGCACTAGTTACTCTAGTGATTACTACAAATGATTGTATTTGTATGAATCTTTATTGGAAACCTTATTACTTATACTAACTGGTGTTTAACTCCCAATAGGTCTTTGTATGATTTTCATGCTTTTTTGTGTATGAAATTGATTTTTTTTCCATGCTAATCGGTGAATGTTTGTGATTCTTCATGGCAATAGTTTATGTATTTTTTTATAAGATAATTGGTATTCTGTGTTATTTCAATGCTTATTCCCAAACTAAGCTAATTGGTGAATGTACCTGTTATTTTAATGCTTTACATATGTGTTTTTTTGTTGCAAATTGATGTATATATGGGTTATATCCATGCTAAATTGTATATGTAGGTTTTATTTCCCATAATTAGTAACTGTCTGTGTGTTATTCCCATAAGTAAGTGATTTTCATGGCGCGGTGTTGATTAGAAATATATTTTTTGTTTGTACTAAATTTTAATATGGCTGTATACATAAGTTTAATAAAGTTTACTGTAAAATAAATTTTTTTTTGCAATATTTGTTAAACTTCATGTCCCTCAGTATTGGTTCTTTACTAAAAACAAGTAGTTCATACTTAACATTTACAGCAATCCGGTATTAATCATAGTAGAGGAGTAGACGAGCCATTCATTCAGCTGCTGCAAGGAATAGGGACAGATCCAGAAACTTTTAAAAATAACCTTGCATTAGATGAAAACTTCAAGCCTAATATAATAAATTGACTTATGTGTACCTTACCGCACAGGTATTTGGTATTTTCATCATCTGCCGTTTGAAACTAAATTTAGGAGAGTCTGGAGAGAAAGGGGCCACCAAATGAACATCGGTCAAATAATGCTGATGTTATAACATAAAATTTAGCCTGTTGGTACCCGTCCTAATGTGCACTTAAAAACTTAATTAGTATTTACATTAATGTGGCAGTTTTTGCACAGGAAAAAAAACTAAGGACTATGTAGGTGAGGGGAGAAATGGAGATTACGGTCTGCTAGCGAAACAGGAGTTAAAACGTATTAATATCTTTACCTATTTTCTAATGTTCTCTCTATTGAGTTGAATGCACCAAGAGTGTTTAAAAACTGCTTGATTTAGTTTAAGTGGAAAGATCGGTCGGCAGATAGGTGTTGTCCATAAGTTAGTCAGTCACCCTCGGGTAGAGTTTCAGAAAGTTGATTGTGACATTGGGGGAAAAGGGGGGTTTCATGTGAATGGGGAAGGATATCATATGTGATGTCAATCATTTAATAACGTATATTTTTTATCAGACTTATAAAAGCTGAAATTGACGGTGATGTTTAACTACGCTGATGTTTAACTTCTGTTTTGGATGTAGGCTTAGATGTCACTAAGTAGTGCCTAGTTTTTTCAATAGTGTGAAAATTTATTTTGCAAGTGATTATTTTAAAGCGTACCGGTATCAAATTTCGACTGGGTGGGGAGGTTTGGTAAATATTGTCACAAAAAAGCCTGGGTACTTTATGTATGGATGGTCCCAAGCCACAACCAATTCACACAAAAGAATGTTGTTGTTGTTGAGCCTTCTCGTCCATGAGGGGCATCCACCGATCATCGTCGGCGTCTGCGGTTCCTCCAAGGGCATAGGCCACCTACGAGAGACCTCCAGGCATCTCTATCCTGGGCCAGCTTCTCCAGGATCTTCCATTCATGGCCAATTTTCTTGATGTCTGTCTCCAATTCTCGGCGCCAAGTGTTTCTTGGACGGCCTCTTTTCCGCTTACCCTGTGGGTTCCATTTCAGGGCTTGCTTTGTTGTGTTAGAAGCAGGTTTTCTTAGTGTATGACCAATCCACCTCCACCGCTTCTGGAGAATCTCTTCCTCAATGGGTTTCTGTTTTGTCCGCTGCCACAGTTCCTGGTTGCTGATTTTGTCTGGCCAGTGAATTCTGAGAATCCTTCTTAGACAGTTGTTGATGAAGGACTGGATTCTGGTCAGGTTTACGGCCGTTGTTCTCCATGTCTCGGCTCCATATAGCAGCACAGGTTTTACCATAGCGTTAAAAATCCTTACTTTTAACTTGCTGCCTAAGTTGTTAGAGACCCAAACATTCTTGAGTTGTTGGAAGGCTGCTCTTGCTTTTCCTATCCTTATTTTGACGTCCGCATCTGTACCACCTTGTTTATCTACCATGCTGCCAAGGTAAACAAAACTGTCCACCTCCTCAAGGGCTTCTCCTTCAAGCATAATGGGTGATGTACTGGTGGCATTAACCTTGAGGATTTTACTCTTCCCTTTGTGAATGTTGAGACCCATGCTAGCAGAAGTGGCTGCGACAATGTTTGTTTTCTCCTGCATCTGTTGTTGGGTATGTGCAAGAAGTGCAAGATCATCAGCAAAGTCAAGATCATCCAGTTGATCCCACAAGGTCCATTGGATGCCATTTCTTTTCTGCTGTGTAGATGTTTTCATCACCCAGTCAATGGCTAACAGGAAGAGGAATGGTGACAGCAAGCAACCTTGTCTCACACCAGTCTTCACCTGGAAAGCATCTGTCAACTGCTGGCCATGGATAACTCGGCAGTTTATCCCTTCGTACATGTTTCTGATTATATCAGTAATCTTCTGTGGCACCCCGTAATGCCTTAGCAATCTCCACAGGGTTTGCCTGTCAACACTGTCGAAGGCTTTTTCATAGTCAACAAAGTTGACATAGAGCGGCGAGTTCCACTCTAGTGACTGCTCTAGAATGATGCGCAGTGTCGCTATCTGGTCCATGCAGGATCTGTTGGTGCGAAAGCCGGCTTGTTCGTCCCGCAACAGAGGGTCTACAGCGTTTTTCATCCTGTTAAGTAGTACACGGTTGAAAACCTTTCCTGGGATGGACAGCAGGGTGATCCCTCTGTA